CCCCCCCCCCCCCTTCAGCACCCACCGCCCCTCCCTCTCCTCCCCTGGCCAGCTGATCTGCTTCCGCTCTCAATTGTGTGACCAGTCGACTGTGTGCTCCCAGCAAGGGGCGTGGAGGCCGCCTTTGTCTCCACCACCCCACTCTGAAGTGTGTGTGTGTGTGTGTGTGTGTGTGTGTGAGAGAGATGCAGCAGGTTGCTCTCAAATATCTTTTTGGACCCCATTACTGCTTTTACCTGAAAAAGGAAATATTTTTAGATGAGGGAGAGAATGCAGAACCTTTTTTTTATTCCACTGCTTTAAAGATTTGTTGGTTGCTGCCCTGGAATGGTCTCGCTACCTTGTTTTGACGATTGATCTTTTCACCACAGTGAAAAATAGTTTAAAGTACATCTCATAATTCCTCCAATGAGATTGATATGGGTGTTTTAAGTTAGATTTAAAAGCGTGCGTACACACTGTCAGACTTCCTCTCTGGGCCCGCCCCCCCCCCCCTCCCTGTGAGTGTCATAGTTGCTGGCATGTGTGTGATGGTAGGTCTGAAGGGTCAGGCCCTGGTCATTGTGCCCTGGTCATGGCTGAGCGACACCACCGCCTGCCTTCTGTTCACCCCAGGGACCCCTGCATGACTGACAGCCCCTCCTGCACCCATCACTCGCATCCTTTATTGGGGGCCATAGAGGGGTATAAGGACAGCGGTATTTCCCCCTTTTACTGCCTGTTATACTGCTCAAAACCTCGTTTTCTTTTCCTGCTGTAGCAGGGGTTCTCGTGTAGGGTTAAGCACTACTTCTGCTGTGCTGTTATGAGGTGTAACCCCAAAGGGTGCTGCTGGGAGTTTGCAAAGGGGGAGGTTAGCAGTGGCTGACCCCTCCCAAGACCAGTTACTCCTTAAGCTCGATGGCAGCAGAAAACAGACAGGAGTACATTCAGTTTGATAGGAGATTCGTAATATTGGTCATTTGATCAATTCTCTGGTCCCCTATAGTCCAGCACCACTATCTGCTATTGCCCCACCTTTAACCTACAGAATAGTTGTTGTTTTCTGTATTTTAAAGAAAGAAGCACATTATTCAGTTCATTCATTAAATGGCAGAAAAATGACTTTGCGATGTTTGAAAATGTCCTTGGCTTTATGAAGATTAAAATAACAAGTAAAGGACCGCCTCAGTCTCCTCGATCTAACCGACTGCAGGACGCGGCGGTTTTCTGTCGAAGCTGCGTCAACTGTGGTAAAAAAATGTATGGCATTAATCTCGGTCAAAGTAATTGCATAGATTAATATGTTAATTTAGACGGCCCTTATTATTTTACGAACTTGTCTTTGTCTAACAAAAGAAATATATTTTGTTGTCTATTAAATTGTCTATGGACGAGGGGCATGGAATTTTCAGCAGTCGGGTTGTCCTTCTATATTGGAGGCGATTGAAAATGAGGACCTCTGAGTAAACTTTCATTTACACAAAATAACTGATTTCATTTTGGGCCACATGGCGCTAGCAAAAAACAGTTGTTAACTCAAAATTGACATGTCATCAAGGCAAACTGTTGCTTATTTAGACATCCAGCTGTTCGTTTCAGTCGCGTCACGTTTCTGATTTTCTTTTTTAGCTCTACTTTTGGTCTCTACCAACCCCTGGAAATGGAAATGTACTGGTGATCTTTTTTTTTTACATATCATGGAATACATCCACACTGTTTCATTAGTTTGAGCTGGTTGCCGGGTAGGATGGTGCATTACTCTTTAGTCCTGTGTTGGTGTCTTTGTGTGAATGGGCCAGAACCAAGTTTGTGGATTTAGTGTTGTGGTGGTTGGTTTTATTCCTCTACTACGGGGTAATAGGATACAGAAGCCTTTACACAAAGAAAGCTTAGGCTTCAGATGTATTGCTCACTGGCTTTTGAATTAACTACTAACCAATAACCTGGGTGCGCAGGTTGGCCAAGTGTGTGAAAGGCAGGAGGGCAAAGGTCAGCCGTATGTAGCAGGCCAGGGTTCAGGCAGCAGGGGCGGTAATGCCGAGGACAGAGCCGCTCTTCTTCCTGAGCGGGAACCGCTGCTTAGCAATGTTACTAGTTTCATATTTTACCACCATCAGAGAAGAGCCGTGTGACGTCACAGTCATTGGTCGACCTGGACGACGGCCAGAGAGCAATGTATCACAGGGAGACATCCGGCGGTCACATTCTTTCCTCTCCCCGGACGTTTCTGTGAGCTCTCAGATCTGCCCCGGTCTTTAATTAGCTCACAGATCTCCCCCTGTCTTTAATATGTTACCAGGCGTTTCTTGCGAAATGCTGTCCTCAGCACACCCTGACCTTTGTTATTTCCGCTGGTCCGTGTTTATCTTATCGGGGAAACATCCGACTCCTAAGTGAAGGGACAGAGGTGGTGGAGGTGGGGAGGAAGGGGGGAAAAAAGGCAAGAGGGACATACAAATGTATATGATCTAAAATACAAGTCTGTGTTACCTCCCCTTGTCTTTTTGCTTTTTGTAGAGATAATGTTATTATAGATAACTGTGTATTATACACTGTGATTAAAAGCCATTGTAGGTGACGTGAAAAAGATGAGTGTGAGAAGTGCTAAACAGCGCTATCATCGGATCGAAGAAAAGAAAGCTAGAGCCCCCGTCGTGTGTTGTGGTTTTAAACCACCTGCTTTAAGGGAAAGGTTTCAAAATCAGCAGCAGTCAGAGAGGCTGCACTTGGCCATATGGTCAGTCACCCTCCGACCAGGGTTAAACATACACTTGACAGCTCCAGACCTTAAAAACGTCATATTATGCACCGAAACCAAAAAAATCCAATAAGTCCTTGACTTTGCCCCTTTTATGTTCTATTTTTAGTTTTGTTGCAGAACGTTAACTTGTAGCTGGAAACCACCTCTCACTCACCCAGAATTGCCAGTAGTTTTACTTTTTTTATTCAGTATTAGTTGCCGGGGGATGTGGCTTGTGGTGAACTCTTAAAACCCTCAAATTGCTGGACAAATGTGAGGTGGACATTTTAGCCCCTTCTGTTCAACCTGTCCCCCACTACACCCGTTTTATGTACGCTACGTGTGCTCTCCTATGACTGGTTTGTGCTGCGTCTCAACTGAACTATGTGGCCTGTTGTTTGATTAATCCATTTGTGTGTTTAATCCATGTGTGTGTAATCCTGCCCGTGCTTCCTTTCCCCCTCCACAGTGACAGTTATGCGCGTGTGAGAGCAGTGGTCATGACTCGGGATGACTCCAGCGGTGGGTGGCTTCCCCTGGGGGGCGGAGGCCTAAGCTGTGTCACCGTCTATAAGGTCAGCCGGGCGGAGGACAGCGGCAGCATCCACAGCGGAGGCAGTGGAGGAAGCGGCAGCAACCTCAGCCCCTGCAGCTCCAGTCCCGGCTCCAGCCCCAGTCCCAGCCCCAGCCCCACCGCCGTGGAGTTTCACATCAAGGGCGAGAGGCTCAGAGACAAATTGGTGAGGGGAGCTCGAATGCATGTTTAATGCCGTACACTTTTAACTAGCTGCTTGATGCGTGGGTCCTTCCTGCTCATCAAGGCACTCGCACATGCAGGTGCACAAACCGGAGACGGTGCATTCGCCCCGTTGAGATCACCCTGAGCCCCCTCTTTCCCTGACTCTCCTCTCTTTCCGTCTCTCTCTCTCACACACACACACACACACACACACACGTGCGCGTACACAGGAAGTGGTTGTTTGGCTTTCCTCCATGGCGCAGGTATCTGAAAATAGGAGCGAACTGAGTGATGCTGTGATGCATGATGATATCATCAGGGGGAAGGGCAGATTACTCAGGAGAAGAGAATGTGGGATGAGGGATGTGGGAAACACACAAAGAGCTTGGAATAGCCCGAAATGATGGAATAAGGTTCACACTCTGACTTTCCATGAGTACACACGTAGTTGCCTACCTTTTTATTAGAGTTCCTTTTTTTACTTGATGTGATTGTAATGACTTAATGCGTTAACGTGATAATAACGCGTGAATGTAGTTTTGATGTTTTCGATGACGTGTTTAATAACCCGTTAAAAATAAATCAATCCAAAATGTTTTTGTAGATATAGATACTCACTCAATGTGTGCTGCGAGTGTTTGTCACTCAAAGACCAACAAATATTCACTTAATTTGTTAACTTTTTGCCTCTTACACCGCGTGCTCACTGACAAACGTGTATTCTGTTCCGTTTCCTCGTAAAATAACAACGAGCCTCCAAAGGATCACGATGGACGTCGTGCTTCTGATTCGCCGCGGTGGCCGTAAAGCTCATGATCTTACCGTCACAGACTGGTCCCGTGTTGCAGACCTAAAACCGATCCCGTAGATGCTTCGGGTTAATCCCGGTCTGTGGTAATGAGAGTGTAAATCTGTCTGTGAGCAATGTCAGGATGATGCTCCAAGTCCGGTGGCTCCTGACGAGCCGAACAATCGAGGCTTTTCCACAGCGGGAGATCTTTTTATCTCCTTTTGACTGAACTGTTTGTGTTTTGTGCGTTGCTGTATAAGACCCAGTGTGTTTGTGTGTGTGTGTGTGTGTGTGTGTGTGTGTGGGGCGACAGCGATCGGAAGAACTCAGGCAGAGGGACGAGACCATGAAAACAAAGGCAAAGAAGAAAACGCAGCGACAATCTGTCAGCTGTTGTCAGAAAAAGACCGTAATGACACTTGTTACCTTCAGCATTGTCTATAGGGATGTCAGCGTTATGACTTCAGACCATAACATGATAGGAACTTGAGCTAAGTAGAGGAAATAACATTATATTGAAAGAAAACGGGCGCGATTCTGGCTGATGGAGACGAAGTGACTGGGGCTGCTCAAGGTACGCGAGGACGCAGGTAATGAGATGTGCGTAGTCAAAGAGCAGGAAACGGGGGTGGAGCCAGATGGACGGGAGACAGAGGAGGTTGAGGGGATCTGTCTATAAGCGCAGTGATGCGGCACAGAGTGTACTGGTGATGACTCAGCTGGCTCTCCATATAGCTACCAATCACTCTCCCTCTGGCCCCCTCCTTTTCGCTCCCCTCTCTCTCATCCTCTTCACTGATTCTCTAACTCTCTTTGAAAAACAAACAAAAAAACCCCCTTCCGATCTAATTGGTTGATGATTACTTGCAGTACTGACACTCGGATTATGACAAATCTCCAGTTAAGCTCTCACCTCGCATCCCCGACGCTCACAGTATGTGACCCCCGTTTGGTACAGATGTGCACGTCGTGTCCAGGTTCTCTCTGAAATACTTAACAACCAATTGTGTTTTAAATTTGTTTTCATTTTATTTCATTTTTTTGTCTTTGACCTTTGCGAGAAAACGATGCTTCATCCAAGATTTAATCCAAGGATTACAACGTATCCTTATATTACTAAAACATCGACATTGATACGTCCTGAAGTGATAATTACAGATCTGTTGCCAGAGGCCGCATTCGTAGATTGTGATTCGGTATGTAAAGTCTCTCCCTGCGCCTCTCTCTGCACGCCTCACCTCCGTCTCTGGCCTCCGCTCCGTTTCTGCTGGCGGGTGGCTCCTCCTCCTCCTCCTCCACCTCCTCCTCCTCCTTTCTCCAAGCGCAGTGTGGAATGCGGTGTTAAGTGTCACCTCTTCATGCGACTGTGATACTTCCTCCTCTCTTGGCCTTGCTGAGCGCTCACCTTACCTGCTACGGCTCCATTCAGTCTCGCCTCCGACCCCCCCCCCCCCTCCCTACTCCGCCCTCCTCGCTTCCATCCCTCTCTTCTTTCACTCATCCACTGGCTCTGGACAAACAATCCGGCCTAAGCTCTGCCCCCCCACCTCACCCACCTTTCTCTTGGGGAGGCATGTATCCATACGATGCGCATGTCTTCCACTCGTCTTCCACATATCGGCCCTCTTAAAAGCACGCATGGCGGCTGCTGTCCAGATCGACGGTGGGGGGACCGCGGCATCAGCTTTCACTAGACCGACCGGTCCTCTCTGACGAGGCGGTCGCGCGGCGAAGGTGCACAGCGCAGCACTCATCGAGTCATTGAGCTCTTCGTCACACCGGCTCCTGCGCTCGCGCGTTCTCTCACGCAGATCACCGATGCACACGCTCACACGTTCACAGCCCATTAAGCCTCAAAGACTGTAATGGCCGTCTCTCATTTCATTTGCTGCCCAGGACCCCTGATTAATAATAGCCTTTTGGAGACAGTGTCTCTCCGCCACACACGTGGACTGCTGCGCTCCAAAACATACTCGTCCCTCTTCTTGCGCCACCACCGGCGCTGCCTGGCTTCATCATCATCTGTAATGAGAACCCCACCATTTAGAATGGGTTTTACAAATTACCCAAGAACTATTTTAAACTGTTGGGTTGAGGGTGATTTCTATTTTTCTTTTTGTCTTTCGACTTCTATTTATGTGTAGTTCCAGATGTAGGCCTCTCTCTCCCTCTCTACTCTCCTACTCATGTTGCTAGGGAATGATTGAATGTGGCAGATGAAAACAACTTGTGGTGAGGCGTAAGGTGAAGGCTTTACACGCGTGTACCCGTTTGAAATGATGAAGCCAGTCTGAATACTAATTTAGCATGACCAGGCATAGATGCATGCCATTGCCGCTGCTAGTATGCAACGTTTAACTCTCCAAACTCTGCGTGCGTGTGTTAACAGGTGGTCCTGGAGTGTGTCCTGCAGAAGAGCCTAGAATACAACAAGGTGAACCCCATCTTCCACCACTGGAGGATCAACGACAAGAAGTTCGGACTGACTTTCCAGAGCCCTGCTGACGGCCGTGCCTTTGACCGGGGCGTACGTCGAGCAATCGAGGACATCCAACAAGGTGCGTGCGTTAGCAGTCCCATTTATGGCGCACGCGTTGTTTGTTTTTTTTGGAGCTGGAGAACAAAATGCCAGGTTTGTTTGGAATTCACTCCCAGAGTTCAGTCCAGGACGTGACAAATGATACCGGCGTGTGCGTATGAACACGGTATGCAGCCGGTATTCCCACCTGTACGCCGCCGCCTCGTAATGGCTGACCTAGCATCTGCTCAAGGGGAGATGCGGCGTGTTGATTAGCTGTTGATCGCTGCTACCTGCTCACTCACCCGAGCATGACCCCCCCCCTCCCATCCCATCCCGCGTTATCTTGTGCCAGCTGCCCAGATAAACGCCACACTTCCTGTTGCGACTGGCACGCCAACACAATGCGGGTTGTGCGGGACAGGGGAGGGGGGGTTGGGGGGAGGCGTCGGTAAGACAGACCGGGGCAGGAGTTGGGACGCCGAGGTTGGGTGGCAACCTGAGATGGGTGCGACGCTTCACTCCGAAGAAACCTGACCTGGTTTGGCTTTTGTCTCGCTCAAGTGTGAGGACTGACTGGTCTAGTGTGAAAAAAAGGTTTGTCTGTGTTCACTGTGGCGTTTACACACCTTTTTTTTTTTAAAGCGCTAAACTAGACGCACTTGGGTGGAGCTGAGTTTAGTCAGTTTAAGTTTCGCCAGTACCTTGGGGTCCTGATAACCAAGTTTGTGTACAGTACAAAGTCGCAAAGTCCACCAATTAGCAGTAGAATTGCCTGCTCAGCAATCTGCCTCCAGCCCACAATGCTACACAAGAGGCTCGCTGGCTGGCCGGGGGGCTATAATCTCCTTTACTCTCTAGACCCGGGAGAACCCGGGGAGCATGGAGGGGGTGCAGCGGAACATATCGTAAAAGGTTTATCACCGCTGGGCATCAGTCGCCTCCTACCCGCAATCATTTATCCGAGATTTGTATTTCCTGGGCACAAGTCCACGCGCAGTCCGGGTGGGAGGTGAGCTCGGGCAGCCACCGTGGGGCCGGCTTTGCTAATAGCTCTGCCTTAGAGTTCCAGTTCTAAAGCAGGGGTCTCAAACTCAAATCAGGTGCGGGCCAGATGGAACGACCGAACGCGGGCCAGACCATTACGGTCGACGGGGGAGGGGTACGCCAAAGTCGGTACAGCCGGATTTGGCCCGCGGCCCAGAGTTTGGGACCCCTGCTCTAAAGAATCATGGCTTGCTAGGAGACGATGTCACATCAGAGATCAGGGCACTTTGTTTGGTTGGCTGAATCGACGATATCAGCATATTGACTTCAAAGATTCTTTTGAAGTTGAATTCACAGCGTTTGAGCAGAACCTCCCCTGATTCGTTTAATCCAACCCAACCCTCTCAGCCTCTACAGCGGTATCTAGCTCTATTCCGGGCCAAATGATAAAAGAAAATAATCTGAATGAAAATAATAGTTGATGCCCTCGTTCACTCGACATAACGACTTGCATGCTCTGGGACGAAAGTTGAAACTCGCCGATAGCTGGTCAGAGGGATCGAAGACACCAGAGGCTGTACAGTGTCTCATCAACAGCAGGTGATAGTGAGTTTGTTCTCCCCCAGTTGTGTGTGTCTCTCTCACCCTCCCCAGCTCCCCCCCAGCCCTGGCAGCTTCTGTATTCTGCTGTTGTGTAATGCCTCTCTTCAGCTCAGGCAGGCAGGTTCTTCTGTATTCCTGTTGCATCGTTCTGCTGCTGGAGGGAGGGAGAGAGAGAATATGTTTTGTGTGTGTGTGTGTGTCAGTCTTGCAGTCCTCTGTTGCCATGGCAACGGCGGGCACATGGCTCAGGCAGCTTTTCGGCCCAGCACTGCCAGAGTCGTGCTGCAGGAAGCCTCTTTTTCTCTGAAGTGGAGAAATGCATACAGACACACAAACACCGTTCTCCGTGTGATTTGGAGAATGGCCGACGGACCGACCGGGTCTCAAATTAATACTTCTGGCCTCTGTACAGCTGTACTCCCTCCCTGAATGCTTGAAATGAGGCTTCAGTGATCCTAATTAAGTTAGTTTTTTTTAAAAGAGCCTCCTGATGCCCCAGCTACAAACAGTGTCTCGGTGGAAATGGTTTAATCCCTGTTTACTGCAACAATGCAAAGACAATAGACTCGACTATTTCTCCTCTGTTAAGTTTCTACACAGCAAATTGCAGAGAGTTAAATTGACTTTGTGAGATTCAATTTTAACTCTTAAGCTGGTGTTTATATTGTCCCAATCTTGTCAGTGTTAAATCAACACTCAACAAACTGTTATTCCAATTTAACTCAGAATAACTGTCAAAAATACATCTGCTCAGTGTTAAATACACTGTATGTAAAGTTAAACCCAACACCAAGAAGTGTGACACTGGTGTACAGTTACATTTCAAACCTATCACAGTGTTAATTTAACTCTACTAAGTGTCGCAAATAAATCTGCTCAGTTTTAAATACCCTCTATGTAGAGTTAAAAAGTCCTTGACACTGGATAATGACTCCAGCTCTTTTGTACAGTTGACTCTGTAAGAGTTGAATCAACTGTTTGCAGTGTGATTTCAGCTCTGCACTTTTGTCTAACGCCGGAAAATTAACTCTAAGAACAGTTTTTACTTTTATCATGACAATCGGATCTTTCTTGTCTTCCTTGTCATGTATGTGTTTGCTAAAGCTTGATTGACTGACAATATTTGAATATCAGTACCTGAAAAAGTGATAATATCACACCGCACAGGTTTAACGGACATCAAATTGATCAAATTGATCAATCAAACTGATCAAATTTCCGTTACAGTGCTAATCGTACTTTCTCTCGTCCTTCACTTTTAAACTTCATTTAGCGCTGCTGTTAAACTTAAACTCTGTTAAACATATCAAAACAGATTTGAAGCCAGATGTGTGATCACCACGTTCAATGTCTTTAATTTAGCACGTTTTTTTGCCACTTTTGTCGTTTGATTACCTAATACATCTCCAAGCTACCAAGTTGGGTATCAATGTTTTAGGAGTGAACTCGAGATCAAGAATAGTGCTTTGTAATCACTTCAGATTCATTCTGAAAACCTGATGCCATGTCTGATTAGCACTTCTGGCCAGTTTTCTTTCATTAAGGACACTTATACTGCAGTATTGGACTATCATCCAAAATAAATCCTTTTATTAGTAGAAAAGGGGTCCAAAGAAACGGCATTTGGTGTTGAAATATCAGTAACATCAGCGTCTTTCCTCGGGTTACACCATCCACGGTCTCCCTCTGGCAGTGAAGAGCTGTAACACGGTCGGCCTGATACCTGAAACATAAGCGCCGACCCCAGCATCAGCCGACGAGCTGCTTTTTGGACGGGGAAATGGCACATGGCATTTCACCCGAGGTCTGGGTTACAGTAGTCTCCACATGTATATTCATTCACTTCTGTGTGCCCCACCGACACAGAGCAGCTTTCATTTCCCCATTTGGCCGCCGTCGAAGAAAAGCAAATGTTTTGTGACGGGTCCGGCCCCAAAAATCAGCCGTGTAAATCTGTTGAGTCCAACGTGCTCTGTAGTCATCTGCTGTGAGTGGAATGCTTTGTTTGATCAATGCACTATGAATACACATAGAAAGATGGGTCCGGTTTGACAAACATGAAAAACAAGAAGGTGAATGAGCGTGGCATTCCGTGAGGTTTTGCCCCCTAGTGGTTCAGCTCCTTGCATTCAGCCTTCAGCTGTCTATCTGAAATGCTACATGGCGGTGTGAGGAGGTTTTAGTCGAGATGCATGCCATACACGGTACTCATGCAGATGTGACTGTTTCCAGCCCTTATTCACTTATTTTGCTCTTAACATTGCCTGTTCCAGGAACATGGCAAATGGAGTGTGTATAAAGATGATGTCGGACCTCTAATCTAATCCCCCCCTCTTCGTTCTTCCATCCAGGTTGTCGGCCATTTGGGGAAGGAGATATTCCGGAGGAGGGACTAACGGTGAGTGAAGTTAAAGCTGAGAGGGGTTTTCTTAAAAAACAATACATCAAACATGTGATTTAGTTGGAAATGTACGAAAGTGTTGAGGTGAACCCACTGCAGGTCTCTGTAACGTAGTGCTGAACTCTCCCTCACTATTAGTAGGAGGCGGGTCATAGCTTGAACCTGAGCTATATATATATATGAGCCCTGATGTGTCGCACCCAGTTTCTGACACCTCCCTTTGTCTTCTAACTGTTGTTCTTGGAGATTTAAAAGGTGTTTAACCAGTGTCAGACGGACCCTGAGGTGCAGCCGCCCGCTGACCAGCGAATGTGCCACAGCAGGCATCGGCTGCCTCTATCAATCTAACTTGGGAGCCGTCACTCTTACTACAATTGATGCCGATATAATAACTATTGCCTCCGGGGAGGAGCTGGTTCAAAAGCAGCACGGGAGGGGGGGGGTTTGCTCTGTGATGTCACAGTTCTCCAAACTGAACGTGTGTCTTCACTGGCTTTAAGAACTGTGTGTGTGGGAGTGTGGGGGTGTATTTTCCATTTTCCGAGGCACTCTGTCCACGTGTGTGTTTGAGAATGTCGAGGTGTTTTTTCGCGGAGAAAGGCAGCGGGTATATAATTCAAGTCTACACACCCATGTTCATTTGTTTAAGATATCGGGCCTGTTACAGGAGCGCCAGTCACCTGTTCCACTTCTGATTGCACAGTAGGCGAAAAGACACACCCGTTGGAGGGAGGGCAGGTCTTGTTATGCACACTTCCAAAACAGTCCAGCAATACGTGAACCTTTGGTTACATTTCTGATTAACTACTGTTGACCCTCTTTTAGGGAGGCGTGGATCTGTGGATTTGTATTTGTGCAGCTTCCAATCATACCAAAGAATTGACTGACAAATCACAAAAATCGTAGGCTCAACAAATATTTGTGTGCATTGCATAATGTTTCTAGTTTTTGCCGACTCTCTTTTATTGAAAATGCCACGAGCCTCGGCATCGCACCGTACCTCCCATGACTTGTCATCACCTTTGACCCGCCTCATATCTTACACCCCGCGTGGCGTGGGCTAGGAAAGGGGGGGAGGGAGGAGGAGGGAGAGCTGTTCCTGGGGCAAAGTTCCTCTTTAAGGAATCAGCTTGAACATACAGGAAATCCAATGGCACCACTGTTGCTAGGCAGCAGCGGGGGGGGGGGGGGTTTGGTGTGCAGCGGTAGAGGGGCAGAAGAGGGTGTTCACAAGGTTCAGCAAGTGAGCCACTGAGGGTGTCACCATGGTGATTTGGCAACGTTGCGGTCGGAGACCTGGGAGAACCAGCAAATACCGGCGCAGGGTGTGTGGCTTTACAGCCCGCCATAAAGTCAGCTTGTACAGGCGCCCTGATAAAGCCGCTCCGCGACAGCATCCAGAGGGTCGAGGGGAAATGTACAGGCTCTGTGTGGGTGTCTCTCCTCAGGATGGGAGGTGACCGGCGAGCCCCGTTTAGTTCCTCAATTAGACTCCGACGTCTCTAAAAACGTCTCTTGTTTCTCAGAGGGGCCTGGTATTCGGGGTAGCCTCGTATCGCTGGACCCGCGCACGTGTGTGTGTATGTGTACACGAGTTCAAGACGGTCCCCTCCACCCACATCCTGCCCACTGAGGCTCAAAACCCACTCGAATGGCCTTCACAGGCTTACCGTTCTTCCTCTCACAGATACACACACATGCAAAGTTACCGATATTTAAAAAGAAAGGGAAATGGAAAAACAGCCTTCTCAGCTGTGATGACAGCTGTCAGGAACCATGCTGCACCACCTCAACACCAGTACCAAGATAAATGTGTTGCTTTTTTCTTCTTCCTCTTCTTTTGGTAATGGCAGAGAAAAACATCCGTATCTAATTTAGCGCTGGCAGGAAGTTTTCGCTTATCAGTTTAGTGCACAGAGGGTTTGTTGGCCGGTGGACTCTTGCAGACCAGACACTCCCAGACTGGTTTGGTTTCAGCGGCGCTTCGCGAAGCACCTCGGCGCCGGGGACAACGGCCTTCATTTGGGGAAATGTGCCTATTGACTGTTCTTAGAACAAGATGAGATTCGTAACACTCTTCATATGCGTCTGTAATGTGAAGCTCTAGTCCACAGCCAGCAGCGGGTGAGCTCAGCGTTTGCAGCTTTCAACCTGGCTGCACTTCCTTTTTATCTCACTTAACGAGAAGAGACAGAAGCACTCGGGCTCTGCCTCGTGTTTGGAAAGTCACCAACACGTATGCATCGCGCATCCTTCCTGTCTTCCACTGTATCCCTCTCGGCCTCATGCAGACGTCCTGAATGTTCTGTGTTTTTTTTTTAAATTGACGAAGCCTGCGTGCCTTTGAGGGTCCCTAGTGTTGGGTGGTGGGAGCCACGTTGCCCCCTACGCCTCATCTCTCCTCATCTCCCCTCATCCCCTCTCCTCCCCTCTCCTCCCTCACCCAGCCACATCTCTGGGGTCAGCTCCGCTCCAGATTGGCCCCCCACGCATGCCTTTGAATGCTGGGGCTTAGGCAAGCGCTTTAAAAGGAAGCCCAAGTCTGTTTCCCATTTCGCCCCCCCCCCCCCCCCCCGCGACAAGGTTTTTTTTTTTTTGTCTTTCTCTTTCTTTTAAAAAAAAAAACAGGGCTCATCTGGGTTTTTAAATTCTGGACTGGGTTTCTCCCGCTGGGAGTGGGTTAAGAAATACCCCCCGGAGAGACCTTGGGCCCCCCCTCTCTTTCTCCCCTCCTCTCTTGGACACATAAACACGCACGCACACACTCCTCCCACACATAGGCACACACACACTCACGCACACACACACACACACATACACGAACACCCACAAAAACGCCCAAAGGCCGTTTTTGCCGGTCTGGTCCTTTCTCTTCATCATCCGCTGTCTTCTATTCCTCACAATTCCCCTGCAGAACCTGTGGATGGTGCGTACAATTGCTCGGATGTTTGGAGCCAAGATAGAGAAGAAGTTCACACACGCACCATGTGTAACAGTTTAACTTCGGGGGGGGGGGGGGGGGAGAAAGAGGGGAAGGGGGGAGTCAAAGGAAGCATCTCTTAGCAACCACAGGACAGTAATTACTGTAGCAGCAGCTGGGAGCAAACCAGATTTCCGCTGCGCGTTAAAGCACTGGCGTGGGCTACTTTACACACGGCACTGACTAACCAGAGGCAGCAGCCTCCTCCACAGGCAGAGAGGAAGAGGTATGAGATAGGAGAAGGAGGGGGGGGGCAGCCAGACGGTGGGTCCAAGGCTCATATGCGGTTGGATCGAACCTGTTGGTGTAAAGTGCCTCCGAGTGTGTCCATGCCAGTCTGTTCCTGACGAGAGATATAACCAGGACTTATTTGGCAGTTTATTGGGATCATGCTCAGACAGTTTATCAGCTTAATTGATAAAGGAAGCACAATGTCAAATCATCCCTAATCCTGCTTATTATTATTGTTATTATATACATACGGCTGGAAACCAACCAAGTGAGATAACGCCGGACATCGCATATCATCACCCAGCTCTTGATGTAATCCTCCCCCATCACCTGTGCACGCATGAATCATGGATAGCCATCGCTTTATGATGTTGTTGCCATGAGTACTGAAGTATAACATCACTTCGATTGGACCTATTACTATTTATTTTATTCCCAGAAATAGTTATTTTCTGTGTTTGATGCAGACTGTGGCCTTCACCGGATGTTATTTATAGACCTCCTAATTGATGTCAACAGCTAGCTTACTTCTTGTAATTATCAGGTTGTTCGGCGTGAGCGGGGAGGGATCTTCGCTCTGCCTCACACCGTGTCCAGCATTTCTCTTTTTTCAATTTGCATTTTTTCGTGTGTGTCTTTTCTCGGCTTGTGTTTTTTTTTTTTTGTGCATCAGTTTGAATGCTTGTGGGAACACACAGGCTGATGAGAACTCTGAGTTCTCAACAGAAGGGCCTTGAGTCATCGGCACACGGCACAGTCACTGGACCAAGCGTGGGCACAGGATGCACCCTGGTGGTGACAAGTGGAACAGCCTCAGCCCACACGTCCATTCATCCCAACAAATGACTAGGTTCCTTTTCCCTGCATGTCTCCAGGTGTGCGACGAGCCTCCCTCTATCTGCACCCCCATGAAGGAGCCCTTCTCCCAGCTCAACAACATCGTCTCCACCGAGCCGTTCAGGGGCTGCTACGTCCGCGCACAACCCTTCGACGAGTTCACTTCCAGCAACCGACGCTACCTGCCTCCACAGGTCTGCGCCTCTCCCACACGACCACTCGAATCTCACAGAAATCACAAAAATCTTCAACGAGTGGAGTATTCATTTGACTTGGGCACTGCAACGGATCGTTTCAATCTTTTTCACTAATGCTTGTCAATCTCTCTCTCTCTCTCTCTCTCCAGGTCTTGAAGCCTAATCGCCGCGTCACTTTCGACATGGACGAAGAAGAGATTGTTCGCATCAACCCTCGCAAAGACGTGCTCATCCGCGGCTACGAGGACTACCGCCACCCTGTCATGTGGAAGCCGGAGGCCGACCGCGAGGACCTGGACTTCCCCAACGCCTTCCACAAACTGGACAGTAAGAAGTGCGAGTACCTCTTCCCCGACGGCCCCTGCGGGGACTCCCACTCCGTCCCCGGGATGGGCATTGGAACCGGCATGGGGCTGGGTCTGGGCAAGGACACCGCCATCAAAACTCAGCCCTCGCCCCTGATCAAGTCCAAGAAGGGCCGGCGGCGGCGGGAGGACGGCGAGCGCTCGCGCTGCATCTACTGCCGGGAGATGTTCAACCACGAGGACAACTGGCGGGGGCAGTGCCAGGACGCCCCCGACCCCATCAAGCAGTGCATCTACAAAGTCAGCTGCATGCTGTGCGCCGAGAGCATGCTGTACCACTGCATGTCCGACTCCGAGGGCGACTTCTCGGACCCTTGCTCGTGCGACACGTCCGACGAGCAGTTCTGCCTGCGCTGGCTGGCCCTGGTGGCGCTGTCCTTCATCGCGCCGTGCATGTGCTGCTACCTGCCGCTGCGCGCCTGCCACCACTGTGGCGAGGCCTGCCGCTGCTGCGGGGGCAAGCACAAGGCCGCGGGGTGACCTGACGATGGACCATGGGACACCCTCAAGGCTAGCTAACACAGGAAGTGGATAAAAGCGGAATATTAAATGCCGGCATCCTTTTTTCATTCCCCTCTCAGACGGGGCGATATGTTGTTGATCCCCAGCTCCGAGGGCTTTTGGAGGTTTCAGTTTGTGTTTGTCGCCGACAAGCAGCAGTGGAGGACAAACCATATGCTTTGTGGGGGATCTGAGCATCAAGCTACGTTCAGGAGCTTAATCTGAGGAGATGAAGAGGAGGCAGACTCAAGATTAATAGACTTGGAGATGTTACTAAACACACCTGTATACACACACACACACACACACACCTCTCTCACACATTCACACTCATGCATTGACAAAGCCAGGCCACAAATGTCAGAACTCTACTGCAAGAAGATGTGTAACTTTATGAAGGAAATTAGTCTTTTGTACAGAGAGCGACAACTTAATGACAAAAAAAGAAATCAAAACTATTCTGCGATAAGAGAAAATACTTTCTGTCTGAGTATGCTAAAAGGGATATGTTCTTGCTTCTTTTGTGAATTTGACGTTGGGTAACAGTGGCCTTTCCTTTATGGCATAAGCATTTGATGACAATGTAATTACTAGACAGAGAAAAGTGCACTAGAAATGGTATTTCCCCCAAACCCAAGTTAAGGTAGCCCTCTAAAATTCTTGTGGTACATCAACCACCATTTTAACATTTTAGAAATGTTCTGTGGTGAACGAATGGCCAATTCCGTGAATTTCTTTTTCATGGTATGCTGAAAAAAATCCAAAAGGTAATAGTTTGTTTTGGGAAGTTGAGCTTGGCATATCTTTTGATATTCATTACGAGGTTAAAATGATTACCTTCGCTTTTCCCAGAGGATTTAGACCATTTTATTGCATTCCAAAGTAAAGGGATCAATTCCATGATTAGAAGGGAAAAAATGGTAACGACTTTACCATGCAGAGTTCCCCAAAATAGTTTTTTTTTCCAGATCATAAAAATAGCATTAGAACCTCTTGAACCATTTAGATTGAAACTGATACATGACAATTTAATTTACTCCAGTGAATTTCACTTTTAGTCCAGTATTTACTGCTGTGGTGAAATTGGTGTTTTTTTGTTTCTTATGTTATATTCCTGCTCATTTTATAATTATTTGTGGAACAAAAGCTGATAAGTTGCTCAACCAGCAAGTTTTGTTTCGGTGAGTAAAGGGGTTTCAGTGCTCCTTGGTTAAATGATGAGGCACTTAAATTAGGTCATTCTTTCACTGAGAATCCTTCAGATTTTGAGATGAGTCTGTACATTAATTAGTCTAATGTCAAATTCAATTTGGTATTGGGAAAATCCTCCTTAAAGCACTGCTCTCCAAGCTTTGGTTGCAGCACCCTCTCCAAATCTCCATGTATCTGTTTTGTTTCACCCCCTCCTGCCCCACCTCCCCCACCCTCCCCCACCTCCCTCCACCCCCTCATATTCTGTGTAAACTTAATTGTCCCTCAAAAGTCAACCGCTTCCATAAGTCTTTATTTAACAGGCCCTGAATGAATGACATTGTTTCAGGAATGCTGAGCATATTAGCTATTAAAAAGAGTGTGTTTGTGTGTGTGTGTGTGTGTGTGTATGTATGTGTGGGTGGATGTGCGTGCACGTGCATAGGTCTTCATATGCACTGTTCCCCCCGCTGACTATGTGACTAAGGCTTCGACTTGTAACCTCCCGTTTCCCAAAATATCAGCTCAGCCCGGGAATTTTCACTTTTCTTCTTTCTTTCCGAAGGTTAGATGGGAAGATCCTTCACGCCTGCAGCTAGCTGGTAGCTTAGCATAACAACTTGAAACAGTCCCACTCACAGCCCAGGTTTGACATATTATAAAATGTGGGTGCAGCGTATTAAAGAGAGAGCTTCAGCAGCTGGCCACGATGGGTTTGGGGAAGGATGGATTGGATTATCTTCAGACGGAGCCAAGCTGGGTTCATGATTCCAGTCTCTATGCTAAGCTAAGCAGCTGCTGCTTCTAGTTCCACACGTATCTGCTGAATCTTGAAGAGAAGAACCATTTTCTCACTAAATCCAAACAACCGCCTCCCGACAGTAACACCAGTTCAGTTTGGCCGTCCAGCTGCAATAACTGATGGAATTACCCCAAACTAAGGCATTGGCATGTTTTAAACGAGTGCCCCTTGTGATTACCCTTAACAGATTTGCACCTCCTGTCACTCCTGGTTAAAAACACCTCGGCCACGACCAGACTGGATTGCAGGAGAAACGTTTATTTTTCCTATTTCCACCCCGACCAACACTCCCTTTACTTTCTATGCAAACCTTCTAAAGTGGGAAAGGCGTTGGTCTGTGTGCAGACTGAGTCAGTGGCGGGACAGGACACTTTAACGCTTCATAGGTAAGGCGACCAACACCCGGTACCAAACTCCAAACAACCTGTAAATACGTAACACTATATTTAAGTTCTGATAATAATCCCATCTTCTTTTTTTTGTCTTTGAAATTTTAAAGATAGAGATGTATTTATCGTTGCTGTCAGCATATACTGTAGCTTCAATTGACAGCATTATGTACATAGGTCACCTTTTAGTATTATTTCACATTGAAAAGTAGAGGGCGTTTGTGATGGAAACTACTATTGAGCTTCTAATAAGAGTTTCTCTCTAGTTTTGTACGGTAGAAGGAAGGACAGTGCGAACACGGTACAGTAGTGGCAGTCCACTTGTTTCAGAAGTTTGATATGTGTACGTAATGCGTACGTACACACAGCTGCACACACGCGCCTGTGTGTATGTATACAAGTACGTGTATACATGTATCAATATGTACACAGAAAGCTGCTAGATGCAATCACTAATTTTATTGTGTTGACAGAGAAAATCAGCTATGAACGACTGTTAAACCCTAATCCTCCAACAGCGTATAACCATGACAGTGAGTTCTTAGTGTTTGATTTCTCTGCTTGATGAAGTGTGTGTGTGTGTGTTCTTTTGTGCCCGAGAGAGAGTGAGTGAGTGTGTGTGTGTGTGTTTCCAGTGTGCGCGTGCGGGGTTGGTGTGTAACCAAATGTTTGGGTGGTTGTCATAGTCTCCCATTGTAATTGGATTTGCCGTGCATTTTTTTTGCAAGCTGAACCAAGGTTTGATGAACCTGATTAAAACTTGCTGGCTGAGAAGCAAAATGTAGGACGTGCATTTATACAAAGTGTAGAGAATGCTGAAATAACACTTCTCATTCTGCATTAACCAGCACAGTGCAACTTCCTGTCATGTACTGTATTATATATGCAACATGTGTCTGTCTGCTTTAATATATATATTTTTTTGACCTGCATTATATAAGACTTCAGTTTTAACCACTTTGCTGCTAGTCTTTTATCCTCTTTCAATCTTGGAAATTGTGCATATCTTTGGGAATGCATACAAGTGTACATTATTGACATTGTGTAGATTAAAAAAGAAAAAAGCTATATAAACAAGTTTTTCTTCAGTGTATTGTTTTTAAAGGTTACTTTTCACAGCAGTTGAGTGGTTATGTTTCAATTCTCCGATGCTTTGGTGCACTGATGATACTATATGTAATTTTTTTTTCATCTTACAGCGCTTGATGTAACATTTATGTGATTAGTTCTAAATAGTGGAAGACATTTGTGTTTTGAAACTTGCAGTATAAATGGTACTACTCTTAACTATTCTGTAAACACTGCCTGTTTTACTTTCTTTTATCCTTTCACTCTCAGTGTGCATATTTCTCTCCTGTGCATCGATTTGTTTCCCTCGAAGTTTCTTAGTGCCATCGGCTTTCACATCCTGACAACCTCAAAAAAGTGCCTCACGTCCATCCTAGTATCCATTTTATAATTTAACATCTCTCGTTCTGGTTCTTTTGGTTCCTACACGTCTAGGTATTTCCTCTCATGGTTCGAGAATACCGAGTATATAATTTATAGTCCCAATAACTCATGTCATAGTTGTATTTTCTTTATACAGATGTAGCTCGTTACTTTTCATAAATATATAATGTAAATATGCATACATATGTTTGTAACTGTTTTTACGTTACATCATACACTTGTAATTTGACATATCAAATAACATTATCATAATAAAATGGTGAGTTTTAATCTTTTGATGTGTGTGCTTCATTGTTTATTTGTCTTCCTGCTTTATAAATACGACTGAAATCTGGAAATTTGACCCTTTGTGTGCAAAATCCAGACATATCCAAAGTGAGGTGTTTGAAAAGTCAAAATGATCGTTGGAACCAATTTCTCAGGGATCGGATGATGTCATCTTCGGTTCTGGGAAAGTGTGAGAGGCTATTTTTTTTATCTTCAATGAATACACTGGGGGAAAAAAATCATAATAAAAAGAATGACTATAGCCCAACTCCAAGGAAGTTACAAGACATAATATAGTGGAGATTATATTGAAGTAGAATGTGGTTTAAATTGGAATACGTTACAACAAACTATATTTAGTATAACTGAGGGTCATTCGCATCTGTGACGACCGCTCACTTCCGCTCGGGGTCTGTGTGAGCCTGGTGGGAGTTCCAGCTAGAAGCACCTTAACAGAGATCTTGGCTTTTTGTTAGCTGTAATACATATATGTATATTCAAATGTTGCATTTACATGCAATATTAAACAGGTTCACAAAATACAGCTCGTTTCAAAGCAGTTTTTGTCGTATATTTATGTATTTACTGTGGCGGAACCATAGATTCAGAGGCTTAAGTTCCCCTCCGGACTGCGTACGCGACCGGAACAGCGCGGAGGCATGAGAGCGCTGCAGAAATGAACAGGAGCAAACGCTGTAACGTAACGTGCTGACATTGTTATCTCATTAACGACGACATGTTTTCATCAGACTAACTCAAAAACTCAGTCATTCAGCGATGGAGTGCGATATTTTGGATTCCTTGGAGCAGCTTGGGTGAGCTAATTTACTGTTAGCATAGCAGGCTACTGTTAGCTCTTCCGTCACATTCCAAATGATGTTCTCAGTCTGCGCATTTCATCGAGATATACCGTGGGCGCAATAGCTAGTCGCTTATTAAACCACATCCCCAGTTCAACACCTATTTGACCACGTTCTCCCCCTTCCGGTAGCTACAGCGGCCCTCTGCTGGAGGAGAGGGTGCTGCTCGGAGCCGCAGAGGGAGGCCTGTCGTCGCCTGAGTATGTGGGCCTGTGTAAGTGGCTGGCGTCCAGGTTAAAGCCGCTGTGTCAGCTGGAGGAGAGCATTACTTCCGGTCCAGGTGAGCCACATCTGGACACCTGGATTCCGACGATCAAGGCTTTATTTCCTCCTTCATGAACCCTGTTTTTTTTTTCCATCTCCAAGACGACATGGAAAGCCTTCACGTGGAGATGAGTGGTCTGCTGAAAGAGCTGCGCTGTCCATATGAGGAAGTCGTTTCGGGGATTCTCAAGGGCATTGTGCTGACTACAAGAGATCACCTCAAGTTTCTCCGTATGCAATCGAATCGTGCTGCTCATTTCAAGCACTGCGTGGGTCGGCGAGATGTTTAAGAATTGTATTTTGTGCGTCCTGTGAAGTGTTTCTAAGCTCCGAGCTCCAGGCAGCGCAGATTGTGATGAGCAGGAGACTCTCTGATGAACAACCCCGAGAGAGTCCGGTGCATCAGGAGCTCCTGGACATCTATGAAACCCTGAGCCTCCCGCGGCCCACGGGACAGGACGCAGGGGGGCTTTTGTCTCAAGTCAGAGACAAGGTGGGATTATTTAACGCTTCAGTACATTTGTATCTGGGTAAATGACCCTTTGTTTATACTCCGGAGACAAAGACTTAACTTTGTTATGCATCCTTTGATCACACCGATTTGAACATTGTACTGATCCTTAATGCTTTAGGTTGATACATAGTTTCTTGTATCGGGGTAATGTTTTAAATGCATTGTGTGTGATTTGTAGGTGGAAGAAGTACTTAAAGATCTTCCAAATGGCTCGATTGGAAACCCAGTGCTAAAAAAATCTCTCTGCAATGAACAATGGGTAAGTAAACGTGCATCTAAACAAACCCCGTCGTATGAAGTTTTAATCTGACTCGTTTGACTTTGTTTAATCTCCGCAGGAGAAGTTGCACGACATAAACACAGCTCTGTCTTCAGAGTACGAATGCCGGCGCAGGATGCTGATCAAGCGGCTGGACGTCACAGTGCAGTCCTTCGGGTGGTCAGACAGAGCCAAAGTACGCCCCCCTTCTCCTCCATCACCAGGGATTCTACCAAGACCATTCTGGGAGAAGAAACTGCTCACCTTTTCCCCCCTGTGGTTTGTCAGGTAAAGGTGGACAGCATGGCGAAGGCCTATCAGCCTAGGAGACACTCGCTGAGGCCACAGTCCACAGTAGCTATGGCTGAGCTGCTGGCGGCCAGAGAAGACATCTGCAACGTGGTGAAGACCAGCAGCGGCTCCAGCAGGGAGAAGACAGCGTGTGCCGTCAACAAAGTAGAGAATAACATTTTCCCCTTTTTCCCCCAAAACGAATGACTTCGGTCCAGAGTTTACGTCTGAAGCAACTTCTCTCGTCTTCTCCGCAGATCCTAATGGGGAGAGTCCCAGACCGAGGAGGACGCCCCTCAGAGATAGAAGCACCTCTCCCTGAGATGCCTCCCTGGCAAAAAAGACAAGATGGAGGAGGAAGAGGTGGAGGACGAGGAGGGAGAGGTGGATGGGGAGGAGGAGATTGGAGAGGTGGTCGTTCGGAGCATGGAGGAAAGAGAGGAAGGTATCGGTATTAGTTTCTGATTGAACCCGTTTTGTTTTTTTCAATTCTGTTCTCTATAGAGGGAGAAATAACATAAATTAGTCATCTTTTTAGATTATTTATAATGTTCATATTTCTATCAGTGTTTCATTTTGCTTTTATCAATATTCTCAGTGTTTAGTATAATGACAAGTATTCTCTTTAAGTACTTTTTGCATCACAAGGTTATGGCATCAAGCCATAAACTACTTATTCTAAAGAGTTGAAGTTCACACTGAAAGTGATGCGTACGTCTACAAAAAAACTTGACTTTTCAGTGTTTGAGACTGAAATCAAGGAGCTGCTCACAACTGTAAACTAACTTCTTACATTTAAGCTAAAGTGATGATTTTTTTTCCTCTGCTCATTGCAAACATGGAAGCTACAGATGAGTGGACACTCTGAATTAATAGTTTACAATAAGACATTTGTTTGCCACCATAAACATTTAACTTTTTTTTTTTGGTATTTAGAATTGAAGTGTTCGACATTAAAAGATGGAGTGAGGAATGTTTGTAGTAAAGTGTTGTTAATGTCAAACCCTGAACAAAACCACTGCTGTAGGACAAAGAGGACATTGAAGTATTTCAAACTACAAAAATCTGCTTTTCCCTCATTTCTTTGAAGATTTTGTACCAGCTGTAATCCTTTTTCCACCTTTTGAAATACTGTAATAAAAGATCTTCCAGTGATTTAACGCTTGTCGATATCCTGAAATACTGCAACCAGACATTACGATCCACCGTCGACCACAAGGTGGCGTCAGATTGATGTAAACAAAGAAACTTATTGGGTAATCTTTTGAAACAAATTGTGTATTTGCTGAAAATAAGTTCTACACGCTTTCTTCCCAATGGCATATCATTTTTTGTTCAATAGATACAAGTTTGTACATCCGATAAGACATTTTTACATTGTGTACATTATGAACAAGATATCTGTAGATGGACAAAACTGTCACGCTGTGGCCAAACATCCCTCTCAAGTCTCTATTTTAAGGCTCATCAGCATGTTAAAACACAACCTGAAGCAAACCGATATGCAGCGGATCCAAAAACGATCCAGTCAAAACACACCGACACATCTGGAGACGTTCTCCGCTTAAGTCCGATCACTGGCCACGAGTGTGACAACAAACATTTCGGGTAAGAAAATTACTTCACTTCAGCCACATTGTAAATTCAGTTGCTGCCTTTTGACAATAGCTTAATTTCAAATACATTGTTAAAAATATATTTGCCGTGCCTGCAAACTGTCTCTGTACAGGTGTGTTTAACGTTTGAGCTCCAAAATAAAGGTGCAGCGGCAAATGGAAGTGCTCATTACTAGTAACACATTTAATATGTGTAGCCTACTTAATGACAAGGATGTGGGCTTATTCAACGATATATATCTTTGCAGGGATGTTTCTTAAATGAGTCAATTGGCAATAATCAAACAATAAAAAGTGTCCAAATGTCCTTCATATTATTCACACATACGGCCCTTCCAACTTTACAAGGTAGATGTAAAGGCACTTTTTCTTGACAAAATACCTTAAATATATTGATGTTCAAATACAGCACTCCGTTCTCATGATTTAAAAAAAAAAAAATATATGAATATAAAAAATTCCAGTTTTACTCTAGAACGTGCTGCCAATTTTTAGAACCTGTGCGATTTGTTTGTACTTTGCATCAATCCAGTGTTTACCAAAGACCAACGCATCACTCGCCACAGCAGATACACAGGTGTGGTCGGGTGGGTTCGAGTGCTCACACCACTGCAGGGACGAACCGCTGCACCAACACACGACGCTCAAATCCATCCGAGCGCTTTATCCACTCTGCGCTCATTCCTACGGAAATGTCCTTCATTATCGGAAACAAAGAGTTGCCAGATCGCAATAAAAATAAAAAAAAGACCTTTGTCAAATTCATTTGTTTATAATACATAACTATCATTACTTTTTTGCAGCATAACATTGCTTCATTCTGTACAGCAAAGTACTGTGAAAGTGCTGGGCTTTATAAAGCAATAATATATGTAAAAACGATATAATACTGTTGGAGGCAGGTCATAAGTCTTCTTGATTCTTTGTGTGGTGTTGCTTCATTCTTGTAGTTCCTTCAGCCGTACTGATTGAACACTCGACCAAACGGGCTCCACCAGGTACTGGCCGCTCACACAGCCGCGGCGCCGTTTGGTATCAATCTGGAGCTTTGTGACTCATGGTGCTCATATGAGCCGGGAGTTGCGGAGGTACTGGATGATGACCTTGTAGATGAAGGTGTACTGAGACAACGTCTGAACCGTCATCATCCTCTGGCGACGCAGGTGTAACAGGAACTTTGGGACATCCAGCGCCTGAAAATAGACAAGGCGCTTAGTGTGATGGAGGTGGAAAAGCAACCAGAAGTATAAACTAGATGAGGTCAAGACAAAAAGGGCGTAGTGCACCAGTTTTACTTGGGAGCGAGGAAGTTACCTCATTGTGCTCCAGGCAGGCGATCATGATCTCAGACAGGATGACCACGCCGCTCCGTCCCACTCCAGCACTGCAGTGGACCAGCACAGGTAGGTTGGCGTTCTTTGGGTCACTGATGCTGTTGGTGTGTCTCCTCACAGACTGGATCTCCTCCAGGTAAGCTGGATTTAAAGAAACAAATAAGACATCCAACGAAGTAACACGGCAGTTTTGATACATATAAAACCGATCAGGCTCGATTGTGTAATGAATGTTGCTGTCAATGTAAAACACCAGTCTGGTTTTCAGCCTCTCCAGGTTGACATCTTAAAGAAAAAGGGACAACACGTGCAGATCCCACTCACTCAGGAAGCCTTTTAAGTCCTCGGGACAGCCGTGGTCAGGCCAGTCGATGTACTGCAGGTGCCAGACCGTTCTCTCCTGGCCCGTCAGGAGGTGTTTGATCTTGAGCCCCGTGGTGGCGTAGCACCCGGACTCAGTGCGGAACCGTGTCGTGATCTTGAAGCGGCCGTATGTCACCGTGTTGTGTCGTGAGCCGAGTCTGGGCCAGTAACGGAAGCTCTTTTCTCGCCCGCTTTCCTATTGGGGGGTGTCACATGCAAAGCGTAAACCCAGGCAATGATGAAAAATGCGTAGCTATCGCTATGAAAAAAGCGACAACAACGCACCTCTTCTGCAGTAACCATGGCGATGATGGCGACGCCCTGTTCCCACACCATCTGCCAGAAGTCTTGACACGTGTTCGCCAAGGGACCCTGCGTGGCGATGTAGCTCCACTCCCGTCCGCCAGCGGTCACCTAGAGAGCCGGGAGACGGATCAGTGATGCTTCAGAGCGCGGCGATGCAGAAGCAGAAAGAGTAGCAGTGAAGCCCGTCTGTTGTGTCAGACGTAGCCATCGAGGAGCGGCGGAATCGGTTATTGACAACGGTTATCGAACTGCTGCTTAGGAAGAGTTTTAACGTGGTTTTTGTCAATATCGGCCAGCCTCAAAGGCATCCTGAGCACCGTCGTCAAAATATTTCCTCCAGGCCTTTTGACAAGAGTTAAGGTTGAGGATACGTCTGCACAACTCACTTTCACGTGTGATGCATTGATGTATCCGGTGTTGTTCTCCTTGGTGGGAACCAGCTCCACTCGGGTGTCATCATAAGGCAGCACGTCCTGGAAGCGGTTTTTATCCCCGCTCTCTGGCAGCTGGGCGATGGTGCATTCTCCTGAGGGACGCCGCTTTGGGATGCTCTCGTACTCCTTCAACAGCTCTCCCCTCTCCATGTGCTGCTCCAGAGCTGCACACTAACACACACACGCACGGAAACCGTGAATACTTCACTACTTCACTACATGGATAATGTAATTCTGACCATAACCCTTAAACAAGTTAATCACATTTTGACTTCCTTTCATTTTATGAATACGGACGATGTTGAGTAGAATATTTTCAGCACTAATAAACAAATGATGTTAAAATCCCTGAATGAATAGTGGACGGTAAAGAACATAACTTTACGCCACAGAACTGTTTACAGAAAGTGAAAGTTTCACTTTCTATTCCTGTAGAAGGGAGCACATTGTATTTAGTGAATGGTGTTTTTTGAAAGACACAGATTTATGCAATAAATAAAGAATGCAAACAACTTTGATGTGTAGAAGTTTAAACTTAATGAACAGGTGTGTTTACTTTAGTAAACCATGACTTCAGCTGACACTCTGTATGAGACATTTGACAAGTTGCTAACCGTTAACCGTAAACAGCTAATTGTTGTTTTGTTACATGTCTGGAATTGATTTATTTTTGGTGCCAAAAGCAACAGACATCATGAGTAACAAGGCTGACCAAGTCAGTCCGTCTGTACGGAATCACTGCGTATTCTCTCCCTCGTGTCTCCTTCATAACACAGCCTCGCCTCGCCTTGGTTAACGACGCCATAGACTGCTCATTACCCGCATGCAGCAAATCCCACAGGTCTCAAAAATAATCTTTGCCTAAACTAAACATTCATTTTTTGTTTTACAAACCCGTTGAGGCGCAAATCACAGAGAAAGAATGAACCAAAGGCTCTTGAGCGTCCTACCCTCTCGTCGTTGGAGGCGCTCTCGTCCTCGTCCTTCGCCGCCTCGTTCATTGGCTGCCTGGAAACCGACAGTCCATTGAGATGCGCCACCTTCAGAGGGCCCATCTTCTTCACCTCTGACCTCGCTCCTTTCTTCATACCCTGTGGTGGCCACAGAGCAGAGACAGAATAAGGTCGGGAGGTTTGTGTGTGTGTGTACGTGTGTGCCGGCCTCGCGGTTCGGTTTACAAGATGGGCGGGACCCGGCCGCCTCGCTGGGTGTTTACTGACTGAATGTCACCTGTCTGGTTTTCCAACTACATTCCTTTACTGTGTGTCATTGGGAGCTGACCACCGAAACCACTCGCTCTGCCAGGTGCATTCATACTCATGCGACATACAACCCACATTTTTTTAAATATCCCTGGGGTATAAAAGTGCAACTAAAGAGCAACAGAAATCGCATTGTGCGACTGGATGGTGTAATTTCAATTGTTCCAAAATGTCTATCAACTACTGCGCCAATAACGTCATTGGGAGTGGGACTCACCGGAGGGGGCAAACCTTCTACCGCCTTCTTCCCAGGGGGCACATCAGACACGGGCCTCTTTTTCACGTCCTTTTTAGCCCTCTGCTTCGCCGTGCCACTCAGGTCGCCCTCGGAGACGGAGGGCATGATCCTGGGCTGCCAGTACTCAGGCGCCAAGTGCAGCGGCTCGCTCTCCTGGATCAGGGGGTGAACCTTGTAGTTCAGGGGACTGGTTACGGCGGGTTCGAGGGAGGAGCCGATGGGGTACGCGGGAGGCGGCTCAGTGGGAGCGTGCTGCGGAGGGGCCGGGGAAGAGAGAGACGTCAAGCTGTGGTGCGGCCGGCACGCCATCGCGTTGTGAGAAAGCGGAATGTGACGCCCGGCGTCTTCCTCAAACTCCTCCTCCTCGCCGCTGCTGTGAACCAGCATGGTGGCGTCGGAGAGGGACTTTTTGTGTCCGTACTGCGCGCCCTCCCTGATGCCGCCGCGCTCCTCCGTCTTTGTGCGCTCGATAAACACGTTGAGCTGAGAGCCGTGGGAGCGGCCGCCGCACAGGGGGGCCGGAGGGGGCGTGGCCGCGTCGGCGGCCGACGAGGACGCGGTGCGCTCCTTGACCCTCATCCCCTCGAGACTGTGCGCCAATCCGGCAATCTCGATGGAGTTCCGCTTCTGGGCGTGCTGCGGGTGCCTCGGCGGGGGTCCGTAGAAAAGAGGCTCCGACACCTCCTGCAAAGAGTGGGCGACGGGCAGGCTGTCCTCCTGGAACGTCTGGACCGAGTGGTGCACCCGCCTGGTGATGATCAGGTCCGGGTTGCTGCTGGTGACGTACGGGTGGCGCGACAGGTCCGGCGTGCTGTTGGCGGGCCGCGGGTGGGCGTAGGGGTAAGGCGGGGGTGGGCGGTACACGTGTGTTCTCATGATGTTCGGGGCTGGGTACTCCTGGGCCTGTTGCAGCTGGACATTTGTGAGCTCCGGGACACTGACGGCCCCCACCACGGGCCTCCTCTCCGTGGGGTAGGGGTACGGAGAAGGACCGTGGAAGCTGGAGCCCAGATGGAAGGGATAGTGATGGTGTTGGGCTGCTCCGCCGTGCTCCCCTCTGATCTCCGGCTGGCTGTACACCAGATGGTCCGGCCTGCGGTAGGCGTAGGAGTTTCCGATATTCAGGTTCCTCATGGAGTGGCTCTGCCGGTGCTCCTGGGACAGGAGCACCCCTCCTCCGCGGGTCTTCTGACGCATCACCGTCTCGTAATCCGGCGTGGCGCGGTAGGAAGGCGGGATGAGGGCGCTGTGGCGGTGCGAGGGGACGTAGTCCGGCCTGGTGATGTCGCTGGTGATGGAGGGGTTGGAGGACATGGGCGAGGGCTGGTGGTAGTGCTGGGGGTTGGTCAGCGAGCTGGTGCTGTGGGCGCTGTACACGCTGCCGTTCCGTAAACGCCCCCCGCTGCCGTACTCCAGAGGAGAGCAGTCCAGGCTGGTCTGGGAATGGTAGTAATAACCGTTCTGACTGTTCAGGTACAGATTGTCTGGAGGGGAGCCAATAAACAAGACACCCTGAGGTCACCAATCATAATTAATAATAATCATAATAATGATGTATCATATAAATTTATCATAATTACAAAACAATTCCATCAATGTTGAAACTCATTTACTGGTTCCCAGAGCCAGTCTCTGGGAACTCGTTACCTTGTGACGACGTGTAAGGCTCTGGGAAATGACCATTGTAGTGCATCTGAGGGGGGGGCATCATATAGGACTGAGGCTTCGGCTGTAAACCAACAACAGAGGGATTCAGATGCTGCTCATGTGGGTTAGGGTTAGGGCTGTGCTGGCTGACACTCCCGTGGATGATCAGCGGAATGCGTGTTGAAATGCAAAACGAGAAAACTGGCAGGGAATTATACAAGGGCTCGTGTGAAAAGTGGGTTTTACCAGAGATATTCTAGTAGAGGACCTCCGTCTGACCGGGTTAACCACCGCAGGCTGGGCTTGGCTGGTGGGAGAAAAAAAAAAAGTCAGACAAAAGATGTGACTGAAACCAGAAGCAAGAACACATACGACGCTTCTTCCACAAACTCACTTCGGCCTTTTGATATTTTTACTTTACGTAACCAGTTTCAAACTTCAGACACATTGCTCAACTCTTCCCTGGTACACTTTTGCCACATTTCTTTCAGAGTTCTCCAGGAAGCATGGCGTGATGAAAGAGTTGTGCAATGGGTGTTCTTTTTGATTGACACGCACTACTGAAAAAATTATAATTGATTCTCTGTGTTCAAAACAACAATCATAAACGATTTGAAGTAATTATTTAATGGAACAGATACAAGGACAAGTAAGTCAAATAGTAGTTTCACTTGGATGAAAAGCCACTACACTTCACGTTTACAGCAGCGAGTATGTTAGCTGAGCGAGGTTGGCGGAGCGATACGGGGGAGGGGGTGGGGGTGGTGCACCGGGTAGCGGTGGCCGATAGTGATGCTCACCCCTTGTTAGAAGGCAGAGCGGGACGAGAGAGCATTGGAAAGCGGGGAAAGGACAGTGTGAGAAGGGACTTCTGGGAGCCCTCAGAAGGCAGGGGCTCACACCCCTCGCTGAAGAGGGAGAGGAGGGTAGAAGTGAGGCTACACCAGGGACAAGAGACACATGGACGGGACAACAAGGAACTAAGATACAGGAACTAGGCCAGACATGTGAAAAAACAAACCACTTACAGGCTGCTCTTGTTAATCTTATAAAACTTGAGTCTGGCCAGACACATCCGGCACACATATTTGGAGGTTTCCATGTCTTCCTACACAAAAAAAAAAGAAGGAGAAGAAAAGTCACAAGATGGAGAGACAATTAGTACAGAAGTGGTGCTTGATTACTATTCGCGATGCAAAGCAAATCCGGTACTTGAAATACTTCGACAGGGTTCTACAGGTTACGGCTAATGGTATGTGACCCACGCATGCCTAACATAGCCAAACTGCCCCAGTTACGGCCACACCCAACCATAGCTGCATTGTTCACGCGAGCGCCATGACGACAGAATCAAATGTGAAGCGGACATTTTCGACGGGATGGGTGGAGGAACGGAGGGGAGTTGCTAGAAGAGCCTTACGGTCTGGAACTGGACACTCTCCTCCCGGTTGGATAGCTCCAGGACAAAGAAGGACCTGTTGTGACTCATGTTGTTAATTTCATTCCACCTACACGGCCAATTAAAGCACGGGGACAGAGAGAAAGAGGAAAAACACATGATGTCATGGCGGCCACAAAACCGTGGAGCATTTTTAAGAAGAGAATGTGGCACTGCTTTCACAATGCAGACTCGATGCCACCCACACACACCCACACACACACACGCGCAGGAGAAGTACATTACAGTACACTCACTCACCACAGTCATACAATCCTATCAGTTAATGTCACAGCCTACGTGACTCATTTCCCCTCGGGCCACATTACAGGAGACCTCACGTAAAAATGACTGTGACTCAATCTACGCGGTCTGATTTAGGGAGTGCTCAGTCACAATTTACCAGACAAAGCCTTTGTTAAGAGTGGATAATATTTCTGTACATTTCAGGTACTGCTGAAAAAGAAACGGTCTCCAATCCCGGTCTGGACTTGCCTAAACGAAAGCGGCCTGCCATTTTTCTGCTTGACAAAGAAGCCATCGATGCAGGATCCCATTGAAACGTCGGAGCCTGTACTGTCCTGTTTGGAGCAGAGGTGAGGACAGAGACATTCAGAACATATATGACGCTTACAAATTCAAGTAGGCCAACGTATGACTTGTTCAACATTTGGACTAGACCACGTAAACCTACCTTGGCTTGATAGCTTTCCTGGCCATAGCCTTCCATTTTCTCCACCTCCTGCATGTACATCATCTCTGCTTCTGGGGCCGATAAACCCCTGGGAAAGAAACCCCCACAAAAACAGCATCAGAAACATGAAGAAAACAAGCCCCTTGGAACCCTAATGTGTAAATGAAATGGGATGAAGAGAGTGATGAGGAACAGCTGGTGATGGACTAAAGGTTTACGGGGTCTGGTATCAGTCTGAGCTTATTGGAGCTACTCGGCCTCTGCAAGTGTAAATAACAGGAGATGCCTGGTAGACTGATGCTGAGCACAGAGGTGGAGAACACCTGCTCACCTGAATGACTGATAATGAAGAGCCACTTTCTGCGTGGCCTCCTCCAGCACCCTCTCATCCTGGATCCAGTCCTGCCAGAGCAGAGTTACACGGATTCACACAATGCTGGTATTAAAATGAGCTTGACTATTCAAAAAAATAAAACGCTTACAATAGGGAACAGCGCAAACTTCTGGAGGAAATCCTGGGAATCATATCGGTTAAAGTCTCCAAAGTCAGCTGGAGAGGGGCAAAAAAAAAAAAGACACTAAATTAGTTAATACAGCAAGGAATACACTGCGTGACACTGCCCTTTATTAAAAGGTACATTTATGCACTTAGCACGAGGCAAATTAGACGGGAGGAGAATTGCCGAAAGCTGTGATGCCTTTTGGAAAGCTGCGGTGTACGATGACTAGATGGACTAATTTTAGGAGAGGGGCCCTGTTTGCGAGGAGAAGGAATTGCTTTGGCGTTTGGGTTCACAACAGTTACCAGCTCCAGTCCGCCTGCTGCCAACATTCACAACTATGTTTGGTATCTGAAGACATCGCCACTGCTCAAAAGCTGCAGCCGCCCTTCACTAGAAAATGTCCCAGCATGGGACCGAAACTGGGAACCGCACAACAGCACTGTTACAAGTTAGCAACTAAAGCAGGGACTAAATCTGATTTTAAAATGTGCACAATGTTTCTTCGTGCTTTCCTTTAAATGCACACGTACACGGCTGCAGCAGTAAGCGCCTCAGCGGCTCTGCTGCACCCAGCACAGGCAGTTCGGAGCGCCCGATATAACTTTGCCAGCAGTGTTTGAGATTCTTCTGGCGAGGCAAAAGTTGCAGGACGGGTCAGGGCTCAAGCAAGGGAAGTTCACATTCCCACACAAACACACCCGTGACCAAGCTAACGGGCTAGTTTACGTTGGATCGCGCTGGGAAAGAGCTGCATATTAACCGAACGGTGAACTGTTCTTAGAAACCCCGGGATAAGTGATTGAACAACATTTTACCAGCGGAGTTAAGATGCAAGAAAAGAAAGATCTTGGCAAACAGACGTTTCTTTTGCACAGCTCACAAGTCTACATTCACGGTACCTTGCACTGCCAGGCTCGCTAAATGAATAGCTTGTTCCAGTGAGCACGAGATTCTGCCCTCCAGAACATCCTTCTTCAGTTGAAGGTAATACTGATATCTGCAAGGAAAGAGAATTACTCATGAGTGGCGAATAGACCGGCTGCCAACAACCAACCAAATATGGTGACTTTGTTCAGGTTTGCAGAAATGGCTACAAAGGTCATTGCAGAGCAAACCTTCTCAAACAACGTGGGACATATTTAAAGAATTCTGCTGGAAGCATTAAAAGAAATGGACCGGAGGAGGTAGAAAGACATCAATAAACACTGGCCTGTGGTTCAAGGGGTAAAACGGTGACCCTAAGCTGCTGCTTTAACTCATTACCCTTCATGGTGCAGTCTTTTTACAAACAAAAAAAAAACACTTTCTGAAATAACATATCTAACTTTGTGACACCCCTTTGTGGATGTCACAAAAATAACAAGGCCCCACATGGCTCTGACAGGACCTCACCTTGTGATCTCCTGTTGCAGCTGGGTGACACTGGGTATGTAAAACACGACTCCGAAGTAAACGGTGGGCTCTAGCCCGTACTTGTCCAGCTGCTTTTTCAGCGGCTTCTCCAGGTCGATCCATCTCTGCAGGTTCTGCTTGTTGAAGTACCACAGGCTGAAGTACGTTATCTAACAAGCAGGGGAAGGGAGCACAAAGAACACACCTGAACGGCACTGTGATCGAGAAAGGAATGCACATTTACATCACGTCAAACTCAAGAAAAATATCATGCAAAAATCAGATCTATGTCACTCATCTCCTGTTTTGTGCACCCATTTGTAGGTTGTATCCTAATAATCGACATAACATTGCAAACATTTGTAGACCTCCGTCTTGTGACTGTCTGAACATCTCACAATGAACACTTGTGAGAAAAGTAACCCCAAGGCTTGCTGTTTATCAAAGACAATTTAGCTGAAAGAGCTGTTGTGATTAGCAGCAGCACTCAATCCACAACTAGAAAGTTACATGACTGCTTAGCGCTAGATAGCATCAATTAGCAACTATGAATAAACATTATGCAAACATCAATCTGGTGTTTTTGTGGGAAAAACAATTACCTGGATTGGAGGAATTAACAAAAGAGACAACAGTTTGGGTTTATGTGCTTTTCTCTGATGGAGGCGGGTACTGTTAACCAGAGCATTGACAAACAAAGTCTTACGCAACAGTCATATAGTGACTAACATCAAGACTTCATATTTCGTCAGTGTTTACTGTCAACTTGAGGTCTCATCCTCAGATCAGATCAACAGGTGTGACCGAAGCGACCGCGTGCAGATGTGAAGCTTGTGCATTATTCGGTCCTGACTCAGCACCACCTGCCTTAACCATAACATCCGAGAGATTATAGTTAAATGAGTGCGACGATATTATTTGTGCAGTTTCTTCGGGTTTCTGTTGTAAGAGTGTGACCAAAAAGGATAACCTCGTCCTTTGCGGTGAGTTGACAACAAGTCCGTAAGAGAGAACAATCAGCACTTGTATTGCATGGAAATGCACACATACCTCTCTTAACTCAAGTCTCTGAGCAACAGCCTCCAAACATTCCTGCCCGGTGCTCTCCACCGACAGCGTGAACTCCACAAACTCGCCATTGAGCAGCTGAATGCGGGTGACCAGACAGCTCTTGCTTGAAACGGTGTACCGGCGAGTCCTCTTGAGTTTTAAGCCAAATGGCAAGGGCATGTTTCCCGCTTCTTCAAGGGAGCGAGGTCTTCACTTAGTCCAGAGAAAGTAGTCTCCTTGCTGGGCCCTCAAAGGTCACTCGGTTCATCGTCGACACACAGATCTAAAAAATAAGTTAATAAAAAGACAATAAGACGACAAACATCTCAGTGCATCTGCAAAACACTACAATTTGCAAGGATATCTGGTGGAAATATTGCAAACTCTGGAAGAGAGGTCCGGGTGCAAAACAGGGTGACTACTCATCACAGGAGAACGTGTTACGATACTTCTGCATAGCCCTCTCACCTGCTGTGTGACCCGGGAACAGACGCCCGAGCAGACCAACAACCCTTAACGTAAAGTAACGTTAATCGGCTTAAATGCGACATAGAAATAAACGCTAATTTACCCGACTTGCGCATCTCGGATAAGCTGTCAAAACATTACGAGGTTACTGCTCTAAAGAGAAGGTATCCAAACACGTAAGACATTAAACAGCTGATCTGTTGACAAACAGCAATGAACTACGCGCAGGTTGTTTAATCTAGAATACGGGTCGCGAGCCAATTGCTCAGATTGTGTTGAGATGAATCTCTTCCAGTGGGTAGTCAAAACTAAGCAAACTAATTTGGCGAAACTTAATAAAAAAAACTTTGGTTCCTAATGCTGGACTACCTAGCTAACGATACCCTTCAGTGGGGGTTTAAGTGAATCCCCAACTTTAGCAGTTAACAACAACTAGCGCTCTTTTAGCTTTAAAGCTAATGTGCTAACATATGATCCAGTAAATAGACGACACCCTTTGGGAAGCTGACGTAGTCGCTACATATTTTGGGGTTAAAAAGAAAAGAAAATAAACCGTAGACGTTACCGTTAGCCAGCGGATGGAATTGTTGTATTCCAGCTAAGATTATATCCAGGGGTATTCCGCCATGAAGCTCGGTGGATTACCATCAACACGAGATACTTTGGAAAGTGGAGCGAGCCCAGTGGTCAGCAGTCGGCTCGCGGGTCCGCGGTGGCGTGTCGTCGGGTTAGCAGCCCGCGCCTGCCGCTCCGACTCTCCGCGCAAGTTCCGAGCGTGTTTCGCTTCCTGGGATTGAAAAAAAAAAAGTAACACGCGTATTCCGTCTCCATCCGCGGCTCAACAGCACTGGTAGCTCTCTTTCAGCAGTTGCAATCGCCAAATTACACTGGAATATACTTCAACTTTTGCAATCAGTGCACACAAAACGCATTGCTGTCCTGTAGTTTTTAGGAGCGTGTAGCTTCAAAGTGCATTATAGTGCCTCCGTGGCGGAGGGATACGCGGCGGTTGTCAGAGTCATGACATCACACAGCTGGAATGCCGAGCGGTGAAAATGCCAGAAACGGGACAGCTGCCCGGAGCCAGCTGCCGCCGCTGACCTGCCCTTTACCATTCACATCGACTGACAACTAATATTATGCAATGATTGATGAGTGACCCTCTGTATGCAACACAGTCTCACGTCTTTTTTTAAATTTAGGTGTGTATATATTTATATCATCATCCAAAGTTGTTGGAACTGAAGTTGTTTAGGTCGAAGCTTAAGTTGCTTGCTATGCAATTCTTTTCCAAAGTGGTTTTGATTCAACATATAACATGTAATGTAAGTTTACCCAAAGTAATAATTCTAATATAACCAAACTCCTTGTTTGTGTGTGTGTTTTGTTTTGCGTGTTTGTTTGCTGAGCCACGATGGGGGAATATTTCCTGCTAGTTGGGAGGTCTGTGGCCTGAACCCACATCAATTTTTGCACATTATAAAGCACAGTGTGTTCTTATGTGTTTTTTTCTGTCCTCAGAAAGGATAGCAATGTATTGCTATTATTTTTGTACATTTTTCCATATACTAGTTTATAGGAAAATTGTTATCTCTACCTGATTTATGGTGTATGTTTGATTCATTCTTTGAATTTTCTTTAATATATGCTTGTTTGATGTTTTTCATAGAGGCAGGCTCTATCCGTATCAGACCGTGTGGTTCAGCTCTGCTGCTGGGCCAACTTGAGAGAAGATTGACCCTCAATCAAATCCCAATCACCTTAGTGATGAATGTGTTTGTCTGATGTGGCGGTGATTCAATAATAGCAGACAAAGATCTTCATTAGGTTGAAACGGTGCACAATTAGATTTGTGTGGAGCTGTGAATGCAGTCTGCAGATCTTTTGTTTGCCATTACAAGCTGAAATAATTTGCCAATTAATATGAGTAGCAAGTGGTTTATATCACAGTGCGATTCAGCTGCTTCTCCGTGTTGCCATAGAAACCCGGACACATTAATCACTATGATATTTAAATAGTTTTTAACACACAAATACCACAATGTACCTCACAGCGCATATAAATAATGCATGGAACAAAATGCTTTAAAACAGAGTTCAGGATGCAGGCAGGTAAGGTGGTAACATTCAAACAAAGCTCCATGTTGAAACAAAAGACGAGCTAACAAAAGAGCCGGGCTGAAATCATAAGTGGATTTCAGGAGGTTGGAACAGGTGCAGAATGTCCCGCAGTTTGTTTTTATTATCTTAAAGCTATTTTTAGTGTTTTTGTTGAACTTGGTTTTATGGTGTTCTCTAATAAAACCCTTTTCTTAATTACTAAAATATCTATGCATCATCCAGTGACTTATCTGCATGCTTGGGTACTTTATTACAATAGTTTTTTGTGTGTAATTTTCATCATTTTTTGTAAATCTCCGTCACAAAAGCAACATAAAACAGGCCACACGGAGGACAGAGCAGAATCAGAGCAGAATCAAAATGTGAATTACATTTATACACAGTGTGCACTGTATAAAAAGTAGATTGTAATGACCTGCGTACTATGCGGTTACTAAATGCTATTGTTTTATTTTGTGTCTTCGTGTCTTGAATTTCAACGGGTGTCTCTTCAAAGATGTCAAAGCGGTGAAGATCCGAAGCAGAGTATGCAGAGCATCACTGTGGATCAATGAAAGCTCGACCACCACAGTCACTGTGTCTCCAGTGTTGTTCTCGGGGGGCTCAGGATTTTTTTTTTATTGTGCTCACTGAAAAATATAAAAAGGCAGAATAGAACTAACTCCATATTGGTGGGGATTTTGAAACATGAAAAACACAGCTTGTGTTAAATCATATTCACCCACTCTTCCAACTTTTTTTTTATTACTTTCAATACATTTCTCTCTCTAAAAAAAACAAAAATCTCACTAATGGTCTTTCAATCTCTGAATTCAGCAAAGATCAGAATTCATCCTCATCACTGGCAGATGCAACAGTATTTGGATGTTGCTCAGGGGGCGTCTCCACATTGTTGCAGTGTTTATTGCTGGACACGTGAAGAGACTGCGACAAACTCCTCCCCAGGTCTTCAAGCTCTTCCGATTGTCCATCCTGACTGACGCCGGCTGGCTCTTGATGAAACTCTTCTTGACTGCTTATAATGTTGTTTTCACGGTTGACGCCTTTGTTTGTCTCAGTTGTCTCAGCTTGATTTAGATGGTTGTCCTCACCGATTCCGATATTACCAGGAGAGCCGATGCCCCTTTCCTGATCATCATCTGCTCTTTCCTTCACATCCACTTTTATTGGCCGGACAGAAATTGTTTCAGGAGAGCACAAAGGTGTAGACAACGACAGGGGAACAGCAAAGTCTGGTGAATCACAGTATTCAATTATGGAACTACATTGGAACAATTTACTGTCCTTTTTGGTCTTTAATTGTTTCCCCCCAGATTCCAGATGTGGTAGGAATGAATCAAGTAGAGCGTTCTCTGTTTTTTCAAGCTCTGCGCAGAAGGTGGATGTGTTGTTTGGCTCTTCAAAATCTTTACGCAGTATTTCCAAAAGGTGGCGCATTTTACCCTAAAACCAAAAGCAATGCAATCAGATGCATGAGAAGAAATCAACGAGTCCTTTGTGAGAACCTGTAAATGTTTTCAAATCTTCACATAAAGCTGTGATTTGAACACTTAAACAAGACTTGCTCTACCTATTAGGTGTTGTGTTGTATAAGCCACTCACCACATCAAGCTGATGCCGATTCATGTCGATATGGCGATTTACTACCCGGTCCAGGAACCTTGTAGAGAACAAAAAATCAGAATGACATAAGGAAAGAGGAATCCTGGCTAAACAGAGCACAGTTTACAGACTACAAAATAGTCAACAACAAAAAAGAGAGACAAACCTGTCAGAGATGTGCTCCCTGGACAAAATGTCCTCGGTTACAGCAGAAATAAATTCAAGGTACATTAGTTCTTCTTCCCTGTTGAGTAACAGATGATAATTCTTAAATGTAATGTGGTTAACGTTCACAGAATAATCTAGAGTACTGTTGAATCCTTGAACATATTGCAATAGCGTTCGACTTATCAAGGGGAACATACTCTGCAGATACAGTCTTCATAAAGGGGGATTTCTCGCCCTCTGTGGAGAACCTGAATAAATAGATGCAAACAATTTATTCATGTTATTCATTTTGCTTAAATTGCAACACAGTATTCCCCCTTCATGATTTTACCTGGACGAGGAGTCGTGTACATCAAGTACTCCGCTCTTGTTTGCTTGATTCCGTTGACTAGATGCGGACAAATATGTGCCATTGAACTCGTCTTCAGACCACTCATGCTCTGTGTTTAATCCCTGCAAAACAAAATGAGAAAGCATTTTCAATATTGATACGGTTGTCTCGTGATTGAATGTTTAATGTGGCTGAAACGCTTCAGTTGTTTATTTAAAAGGGAGAATTGGACAAACAAGGACAAATACTTAAACCCCACAACATGTCATAGTCTTTATTTGGATGGTGTGCCACATGTCTTTGGGTTTAGTAGGTCTAAATGTTCACTAATTCTCACTGATATTGGGCTTGGATCAGTGTTTAAAGCTGGTATGAACAATTTTATATATGGTATATATTAGTTTTGGAAAAAAAAAACACCAAAGCCGTGATTATTTATCACCAGCGATGTGTGTAAGCAAATTTGAATATGTATCCGTCCCACCATAACAAGATAAAAAGGGTTCAACAGTAAAGTTGTAACATTGTATTTTTACTGTTAGGCGCATTAGGAAATATAACTGAATAGTAGTTACCTGAGATGGCTCATGAATGTCCTGTGCGCTTTCCTTGGTTGTAGTGCTGCATAAGAAAAATAGAATTCAATTCATTTAAACCACTTTCACACATTAAGATAATGGTTTTCATGAAAATGTCCTTCCAGACTCACTGGGATGTTTGGTAAGTACCTTCCGTGATAGGTTTCCTGTCGCATCAATCTGGAGTTGGTGCTATCCTGAGTGGGTTTACGCCCTGGGGCTCTGTAGTAGCGATATTGCGACAGGTACGAACTCTTTTCTGATTTCAGGGTCTTGGGGGTAAAAGGTTTGTCCTGGGTAAAGTGCTGGGAATGTTTGTGGAGCAGATCTCCACTGTACGTCTTCTGGACAGGGTCTTGGAAAGTCTTGTAACTCTGATCTCCTGGAGCTCCCAGTGAACACACTGACTGCTTTCTGTGTGAAGTTGCCTCGGGGCTGCGGTACTTCCTTTCTGATGCTGGCCGAATGTGATGGGACTGGTTCTGAGAGCCAACTTTAAATGATGGATAAACCATCTCCTTGGCATTAAAGGAGGAGAGGAACTGCGGGCTGGAAACCGCAGAGCTCCTTGAGCAGAGGTAGGGGCTGTCATCATATTGCACAGATAATCTACTCTGAAAAGGAAACATGTATTGAAAAGATCTTATTTTCAGGTCAGGCAATGCGTGGTTTCTGTATGAACACACCAGTGACGTTGCGCTGATTTCTTACCTGGGCCAAAGAGCAGGAGGCTCTGCTATTCCTCTGTGAGAGAGAACGGGCCGACTGAGGACGACCACCTTTCCTCAACCGCTCCTGTCTGATCTGGTCATTGTCTGTAAAGAGGGAATGACAGGTCTAGTCAGTGAATAGACAAAGAGTAGTCTAGAATAGGAAGTCCCTTACTGCACTTATCTGCAAGGTGTGAGAGTGTGATGGCACAGGCAAAAGAAGACAGCGTTACTTTTAGCGATAATGATGACGACTTGCATTGTGTGATGAGTGAGTCTTTCTTAACTAGTAAAAAAGGTTGGTCTTTGATTCAGATAACCACTGGCACACCAACACCAAACTGTTATAATGCAATTAAAACCACATTGGGTGTGCTAAAATTAGAAATATATTCTTTGAATTTAATTAATAATTTCATATTTGATGACTGAGTACTTACACTTTACACTGTGTATCAAGCTTTTGGGTACTGAGGCATCGATGGCAGCTGTGGAACAAGGCAAAGATTTTTCCTCCAACAATTATGAAATACAGATTGAAGCATTTAGAGATAAAATTATTTTATATATGCATGGGATGCATGGGGTTTTTCTGAATGTCAATGTAAGAGTCATACTGCATCCCTGCCATGCAGCTCACCTTTAGCGGAGTAAACCTTTTTGTAATGAGACACCATGTGGTCTCTAACGATGGACTGCGTCAATTTGCTGGAGGAGCGAGTGCAGAAAGCTACAATTGTGACACAGAAAACAACATGAAATGAAAAGGAAGTCCTTTACTTACAAGTAGCCATAACTCAGATGACTTCATTGTCATAATATAAGAACGTAGTATTACTTACGGCTACTTTTTAAATCCTGTCCTTTCCCACCAAGGCTGCACCGTGATCCAGATGATACACTCCCTAAAATAAACAGATAGATATAGACATGCTAACTATTGTAGTGAAGTAATACAATACAACAATAATAAAACCGTTTCAATAAGTTATATGTATAGTAATAGATAGATATTGATGTTTTATCACACAAGCATTTGGTGCATGAGCTCCACAACCCGATTTATGTTAACCTTTGTATGTGTAAACTAAAAACCCTCTTGGTTTTATGTCTAAACAATCTGAAATATTTCAACAAGTATTTAACTTAATTATTGACAATAAGTAATATATGAGTAGGACTACATAGGCTGATAATAACAAATAATTCAGTCAAGTAACTATTTACTTTTTGTCTAGCGTTACTCTGTCTTCCATATTTCGTGAAAATAGTAGCTGAACAATGTCGTTTTTATTTTAGTGTAACGTTACCTAAATAAACAATAACCATACGTAACGTTAACTTAATCGTAGCTAACTTTTACTGAAGCACGATGATACAGCATTAGCATTAGCGTTAACGTGAACCAACGTTACTAACGTCACTGTCTCGGTTATGTATTAAAACGTCTTGAGAACAAGCAGTACGAGTTATTTAAATGGCTGGACCATGTCAACATGAAATGGAAGCTACATTAGAGAGTCCATACGAAGTCATCATGAGTTTATCTTATGAAAGCAGCCTGAGCACAATATAACGTGCTTCATTCTGCTGCCCAACAGCTAGCTAACTGGCTAATGCTCGAAGTAGTTTCATACCTATTCTCGATTCCATGGTATTATTATCCTCATCGTATCCCATTTCCCACAAAAATATTCTGTAGCAGCAACGGGAGATCTTGAATAGATCCAGAAACGATAGCGTATGTAACTCTAAACATGTTTACGTTGAAAGAGAATGGAGTAACGTGAAGGTAACAGCCTAAAGCTAGCTTATAAACAGATGGGCGGCGGAGCAACGCTTCTCCGTCGCCATGCTGGTTGCTATGAATGCTTTCGTCATCACGCTCTTGCGTAAGGAAAGTCACGCCACCTGCTCCACGACGTAACCACGTACACACGATGTCCCTTGACTGCGAAAACTAAACCAAAATAACATGCCAAAACATATTTCATTCACAACTCAATAAAATCCCAAATATTTACATAGGCAATACATTTCGGGCTTCAATTCAATTACGTTGCGTGCAGCAACACATGTGCTTAGAACAGCAGAAATAGATGGAGAAACAAATGACAGTTCACCCATAACAATTGTGTTCCAACATTGGGATGTGTTTGCTTGATGTTTTTGGAGACACCTTTTCAACATTAGCAAAAAAAATGTTGTCCCAGGTCATACAACACAGTGGCATGTGTTCCAGAGCCCTTGTCCACACCAGTAATTAACAAGATATAGGTCTTAGGAGACCTCAGGATCATAGGGAAATGATTGTATAGGTATAAACCTCTGCTAAATTTAATCAAATATCCTGAGACCTTTATCTTGTTAATTACCGGTGAATTAAACACCCTCCATCTTACTCCTAGAAACCAAACCAGTAAAGCAATAATGTGAGTGTGTGAAAAACTGACCAATCTGAATGACATGAGTGCAACAAATATAAATTCAGATTCAAGTACGTCCATCATGGGACCATTCTGTCAGCAGGGTATTGTTAATTCTGCCATGTTCCTTGTATTGTTTGATAGACCTTTTAACCCCTAACGTCATACACCCACAAAAGATTGTGAATTACCTCATCTTAGTGTGAAACAGACTCTCTGAACAGCATTGTTTGTCCTAACCAAAAGTCCCTTCATGCTGGTTTTTATCAGCGTTTATTACCAGCTTCAAACACGCAAACGAATGTAAAGTAACTCATTATTACACCATTCTGCAATGCTTTCTCATACCTTTAAGGACTTGTAAACCGCAGTGGGCTTAATCGTGTACATACAGGAGTAAAACCTATATTTTTAGTCATGATGAGCTGAGAAAATATTTTTCTCAGACAATGTATGTCAAATTGACGTGGACACACAGTTGCAGTTTGTAAAATGTAAAGCTTTTCTGCCCCAAAGCAACGTCATGCTATTTTGCTGTCTCAATAAATGTTGCCACCTTGATCCTTGATCTTGTTTTATGTTGCTCCCAAATTACTGAGGAATCGGCCAAGTACACAATATTCATCATGCATGTCCTTGGGGCGGTTTCACATTTTAACGATTGGTCTGCCACATCAATGGTGTATTGGTGTGGGGGGCAAGATTAAGGAAGGCATGATGCTCGGCTCCATGCTGTGCTCCAAAGACAGGAGGAGGCAGGCACCACCCTGAATGTGTACAAGTGCAAACTGTCCAAGAGCAAGGTGGTCTCCTTCTGGAGACCAGGCCATCAAGGAGATGAGGGTTATCCGAATAAACAACAGTTTGTTCTCATGTCCTATGTGGGTATTTAAAAAAACTACACTTCTGCAGGAGGGAATAAAAATGAATTGCACAAAGTCAAAGAGAGATAGCTTTAGCTTTGTATGGCTTAAAGCATGTTACCAGCATCCCAAATAATCATTGGAGTTGAATATCTGCCCATCCGTGATGTGCCTTTGAACATCTGGCTCTGAGGTAGACTCCATTGATTGGTCTCCTGACATGCAGTTCTTCTGCAGATCAGATTCCAACAAACATTTCAAAGTCTTTTTCCCAAGCATATGTTATGCAAACCCATTTACCGTTCTGACCTCTTCCTAAGAACATCGTCATTGGGCCTTCATGACAAGCGCCTTCATGATTGTTAACTTTAAAAGCCGCCCGGCAGAAAACGTTAACGCTCCCCGTAGAAATGTACCTTAAAAGTGCAACATAAAACAAATGTCTGCTTGCAACCGGATTCAAAGCACCGAGGTAAAATATATTTCAATAAAGAAGGTTCTTGTCACCAAATTTTCTGAGCTAACCTCTGCTAAAGTGGGCTATGTTCAACACAGAAACCCATAACCTATATTACATCCACTATGTAAAAAAATGTTAAAGTAAAGTTTCTTAGCTCATGCGATAGTTAGATAAGTTAATTTACTCTTGAAGGGCAACACAAAACTGCAAAAAACAATAACTAACTAACTCATAACTCTGCTGCTTATAGAGTCGGTGTAAAAATATTGTATTTATATATAGCCTACATATCAATGTATTTCCAGCATATTTCTATAATAAGAACAACAGATAATACATCTAAAACCTGTATTTTTCAGAAATAATACTACAGTTCCCACGCATATTCTGAATCCACAGTCTATTGAAGTACATTGAATACAATGACTCCATGCAATCATTTATAATGCTTAAAATACAGACTAAAATACGCATATCAATAGTATAGCTCTTCAAATCAAACTGAATTCTGAACTTGAAAATGTGTAACACCTGTAGGACCTTTTGGCTGCATAATCAACTAAAAAAACAACACATTTTGAGCTTTACCGCCTACTGCAAAACACCTGCAGTATCTCAGAGCCTCGTATCCTGAAAACAATATGCGCATCATAAATTGCTCCCTAAATGTCGTCGTGTGACTTAGTACGGGGGGGGGGGACTTGTTCATGGCCATGTAGAAGTTCATAAATGATACACCGTTACATGTGTGTGATGTCATGATTTAAGTCTGCAGCTGATTTGGCGTATACAACTCCAGCCCGACGCCCTGCGCCATGTGCTCCGTCGCCGGATGCTAAACGATGAGATGAGATAATCCTGTTTTGGGGGAAATACGAAAGAGTGAGTATCCCAAAAAAAACAGAGGTTTTATAAAAATGAAGTGAAACGGCTGACGCAAGGCCATAGGAGTAAATACCCCGTAACCGGCAGGTGGAGGGGCGCTTTGGGGGTGGAAGGGAGGAGAGAATCCGTGCCCGTTGTTCGCAATGCCGGCGTGACGCGTGGGGGTAAAGTTGCTTATTCGCGGGCGCACAGGCGGATGATTGTGGACAGGACCGCCGGTGCTGTTGTGTGTCCCCGTGTGATTCGTGATGTGGGGTTGGTCGGTGCGACGTTGAAACGTCTCATCCGCATCTATGAGACAAACACCGCGATGCACGAGCGAGGTGCAGAAAAAAAGGAGGGGGGGACACGGCAGAGACAGACAATGCGGTTATGCGATGCGTTTATTTCTCCGTGTATTTTTTGAGAGCACACACGCGAAGATATGCTGTCCCGAAGACGTGGTTATGTCTTCGTGATTTGGTTATTTTTTTCTTTATTTTTTAAATTTGAGTGAACGCATCGATTTCGATTGAGAACCAAAGATGAAATTTCCAATAGAAAACCCGAGGAAACAAGTTAAATGGGAACCCCAAAAAGGTTTGTTGATACTGCTTTCTTATATACTGCCCGATAACTTTGGATATATTTTATTTAATGGGCTACTCCTAATCTCAGCCCCATGTCATAAATATATAGTCTTCATGAGGGACAATAAATTACATCATGCATTTTTCACAGGCTTGAACAGTTTGGGCAAAGTTTTATATTCATTATTTTGTTAATTACTCTTGTTCTGTGTTTTATGCTGCAAAAAAAAGGAGATAAAGCAGTGGGAGGTTATTTCTGTATTCTTCACTCTCTGTGTGCTTAGTTGTCCAAGGCAACCCCGCTAGAAGCACAGGGTTAACCACCCCAAGTTGGCAGCAATAACCAGGCCAAAACCGGCAAACATATCTAAAATAAAATAACCTATGTTTGTATTCCATTGGTTGTGACTATCAGACATGTTTTCTGAAACACTTTTATGGTCACCCATAGGGATTTTCTTTACCAAGCAAATAATCGTTTGTGTTTGCTGTGAGTCTAATAATCAAACCGATCCACTAATTGAAACGTCTTCGGTAAACGTTTTATTTTGAAACTTTTTTTGCCGGAAGTGTGGCGCCTTTATGTGGCAGGAAACTTGATTTTAAAGTCTTTGGTCCATTAAAATCCCCACATTTGTCCTAGTACGATATGCACAAGAGTCGACTTGAGCCAAAACAAAATGTTTTCCTCATGAATAATGTCTAGGTTTATATTTTGGTCTTGGGAAAAAAATGCCCTGTACACAGAATATGCACGAGACTTTCTGGAAATGTTGGCTGTCCCAGTGTGCCGCAACAAAACAGTGTTGTAACATTTTTGTTATCTAAATCCCTCATTAGCATCAAACATATTTTATGTTTTAAGTTTTAAGCTTCCAGTGATATACTGTATAGAGAGAAAGAGCGAGAGAGGAGAGCGAAAGCAGAAGAGAGAGGGGGAAAGAGAGGGAGGGAGAGAGGGAGAGAGAGAGAGAGGCAGAGAGAGGGAGAAAGAGAGGGGGAGAGAGGGGGAGAGTGAAATGAAGAATCAGGGTATCAGATCAAAAGCACCGCTCTCCTTATTTAATTTGGAAAAATCAATAACGAATTTCAGCTGTCTGGAAAGGATATTAGGTGAATACCACGCAGCCTCAAAAATCTTGCAAAGCAAACTATGTTGATCACAATTTCGAATTAGCGTTCTAAACTGAGACAATACACAGTTATTTGTGATGAGAGATCCATCTTTCTGCACAATCTTGCAGTGTTTATCTGCAGCTGCCCTGCTGCATAGAGCACATTTATTCAATTTCACAGAATGAGATCAAAGGTAATTAATGTCTCAGTAAGAGTACTGATGGACTCGTATCAATTTGCAGTTGATTTATCAGTAGATTTTCCACTGCATCCGTCAACATGACTGCACCAAATACAGAAGGTGAAATTGTTATGGGGTGGTTTCCTTCCTGCAGCTTCACCTCTTCATTTTCAAATTTATCCCACGTCCTCAGTGAAAGTGGCAGGTTTGTGCGTTCCTGGGCTTTTGACATCCCGTTGATCTTATTGATTCACTCATGAGTCTCCATTAGGCTTTAACAAGCATCATAGCTCTTGGATTAGACAATTAGACACTTCCTTGACTCATCAAGGCGGGACATTTCCATGCAATTCACTTACATACTGTATTCCATGAGTGAGCCTATCCCAACAAACCAAGGAGAGGCTCCCGAGAACATATCCGTTAGGTATTCCTACCTAGTTGCATCATGGTAAACAACAGGCTTCACCCATGGCCCTTGAGGCACGTCATGGGTATCAGGGGGGAAGTCTGGAGCTCGGAATATCTCATACAATGCTTTATATTAACGGAATGTCGTTTTTGACTGCCTCCTCGGTGCTGCTTGCCTCTTGGTCGACCTGCATGGCTCCCGTGCACATATTATAAAATCAATCCTTAAGCCAATGGCTGAAAGTAGCACTTATCCCCTCCTCTCTTACAGTACATTAGAAAAATGGATCTTGCTTCTCTGTAAAAGGATACATCAATTTGCACCTCCGCGTAGCAATACTGTAAGGGTGTAGTCTCAGATGGTATCTGTAAAGAAATGTTTTAAATCTGGTTTTGATTATGTCAACGAGACATACAGCCATTTCATTATTCTTTCTGTTTTTAAAAAAATTCATAGTTATGTGATCACAATTTTTTCTGCATTGACGTCTTCATTGGATGAGGCTTCAGAGACAGCAGCATTGGCACAGCTGTTGACCAGATAACAGCATTTTTGGATGATAGCTTTGAGTGTCGGCTTTGTGAAGAGCCCTTAATTAGCTCAGAGTAATAGAAAGAAATCACTTTCTAATGCTTCATGCTGTAGGCTGCAGGTTTTCAGAGGCTTGTATAAATGTCCTTATAAAAGAGGCTTCAGTATGCAAAACAGGAGTGTCACTGAAAGATGCAATCGTGTGGTCAAACTCATTCCACGCACTGCTTTTGTTAGTTGCACAATTTTGTTAACACCATCGTGTAATCATTTCAAACTCACTTGAAATTTTCTCAAATTCCACCAGCAAAACTACATTTCTGAAGATTTCTTCTCACCACTCAATCTGTCTTCACATTTCTACCAGTAACAGATTCAAGCCTTTCGCCAACTGTTCATTTTCCCCTGCCTAAAAATCACTCGAGTCACTCTGGAAGATGCAGAATGTCTGTTTCTGTCTTGATATCCTGCACCACAAAGTGAATCAAAACATAAATTAATCTGTTTCTCTTTCTCCGACTCCTCCCCAGTGGCGGTCCAGACCAACTTGGTCCCTCCCAAAAAGATCCAGGCTGGCATGGCCAAGTCGAGCCTTGTCCAGGCCAGCGTGGCCACCATGCAGAACCCAATGGGCTGTGAGCCGAAGGCCAACGGTCATTGCCCGCTGCCACGCCTGTCCATCTCCTCCCGCTCTGCCAGCGTGGTGGCCAGCATGGACGCCAGCTGTGACGGCGTGGCCGCCGCGCTGCACTCGGTGATGAAGTGGAAGACGGTGCTGGCCGTGTTCATCGTGGTGGTTCTCTACCTGGTCTGTGGGGGTCTGGTCTTCAGGGCTCTGGAGCAGCCGTTTGAGAGCAACCAGAAGAACTCTATCACTCTGGAGAAGGCTTTGTTCCTGAAGACACACCTGTGTGTCTCTCCCGAGGAGCTGGAGGCCCTCATTAAGGTGAGTGATTGGAAGTGGGGATCCGCTTTTGGAGTTTTAGATGAAGTGACAGACACGTCTCACGTCACGCTGCGGGACATGCTCAGACGTCCCTGGAATGTTACATTGCATTTTTTTCCCCATTACAATTTGTAACGAGATAAGTTGAAATGAATTACAATTACATTATGCACAGTTTGAGGGGCAGATAGGAATTAGTCAGACATATCACCTTTGTAGCAACGTTTTCTCGTGTTAGCTATCCGGTAATTCTTCTGTTCTTAATTCATTCGGAAATCATTATCTTGTCACATGATCTTAAAAGCTTAGCTACTACTTCATCGATTGTCCAGATGTTCTTTCAGTAATTAAACCCTCCATCGACTGCTGCTGATTTCTAAGGAAAAATAGCCCGTAACCACATAAAACCTGTCAACAACAACATCTTTTCAAGCGGAACGTCAGCCATATGTATTGTTGTATTATTATTCTTTATAGTTTTAGGGGTCACAATGAACTCAGTCAGAATAATAATATTGATGTATAGACATTATATGTAGTATGAACATGGAGACTAAAGTACTACCTTGAGATGCTACTCTGTGCCAGCCCAGATGAGGACGGTTGACGGGTAAATGTCAGGAGAAGAATTAGAGGCCGGCCCCTCCTTCCACAGGAGGCGGATTAATACCTGCAGGGTCACCAGAGATGCCCATAAGTCTCGGTGACACTTCACATCTGTTGGCAAAAACATTGTACAACACATGCACGTGTTTTCTATTACATAACAGGAAGGTAAAGTAATATTGGAGGAAAGGACAAAAACACTTCTGTGTCTTTGTTTAATGTGCAAACATCCTACAGTACGTTGTGTATTGCATAACACAATAGTAAGTCGTTTTGGATGGATGGACAGACTGAATGGATTCAATCAATGCTCTTTAAACAAGGGTTTAAAAAGGACCTTAACGCGACAGCCCTTAGTTTTCATAGCTCTTGGGAAAAGGAGGTGTCTATCTTCTTTTTGAAAAGGTTCTGAAATGATGGTGCGTTCTGTAGCTGCTGGCCTTCAACTCTGTCAGTTTGATAAAGATGCTGTTGTTGTTGTTGTTGTGAGTCTGGTTTCTCTCGGCTCCCACTCCAGAGCTTGAGGCATCTTTCCTGAAAATGTCTGGACATGTTTTTTTACTACGTGAGGACATTCCAAAAGAACTTCAGGTGTGTTTGTGCTGCCATGTCATGGCCACACTATCCTTTAATAGAACAGGAGATGGTGTTAGTGTAACCTGAGAAATGGGATAAACACATGTGTGGGTCGTGTGTTAAAAATCAACGTATCTGTCTCAGGCCAACTTGACCCTTCCTTGAAAATTGAAATGAAAACCCTTTACAAAGAGCTTGTGTCCTTCTTATTCGGGTGAATTGCCATGTTCTTGGTCACCCATTTCTTGTTAGTTGGAGTGACAGTGTCCTCAAAGTATGAAACATGAGGTCACTGCATCGCTCAGGAAATGCTTATAATTGTGTTGGTGACCTACACAATTATAAAAATAAATAAAAAAGAATCATCAATCAGTCAGTTCTAAACAACCCCCTTCTTTTTCATTGGGGTCTTTATTGAGTTATACATCTGAATTCCTTGTACCCTCCATAATAAATATATTAGTACATGGAATTACAGAGTGAGGCATTAACAACACCCACGCGTTTTAAAAGAGGAAACTAGCTCACGGACAGAAGAGCACTGTTGTTTTTACTCCAAGAGACGTTTCATCATGTCTTCTACCACGCGATCTTAGGGGCTCAAAGATGAAGGACAATTTTAGCGGCTTAGTGACCCTGATATGTCTGATCATGAAATTAAATATTTCATCAGAATGATTCATTTCGATCTCGAAATGTTAGCAACATGGCATGAGGTGCTTTTATTGTCAACCAACACCCGAAGTGGACTATATAACAAGCAGATTGTAAAAAAAAAAGAAAATCATTCCCATCACATCATGACTTTACTGCGCGTGTCTTTTCCTGGTGTCAGCAGCTTTATTACACAAGGTGTGCGGCTGCTTCATACCCCTCTGGTACCACACGCAGATTCATAGGTTGGGTTTTTAAGGTCACTACCTCAAGGTGACATGAGCAACTGGTTGCGGGATTAGAAAATAATTCACGATGTGTCCGTGGGCAGTTTGCTGAATGGAAAGCTCAATTTTTAAGTGTGGTGACGGTAATAATGGTTATTGCAACTGTTATTTTCCTTGGAGACACGAAGATCAAAGTCCCTTTTATCAACCGTAATTGCAAATTAGCTATATTTTCTGCAGAAAACATTGTGCAATACAGACGATCTTGCTGATGAGAAGGCAACCACCAAAAAAAGGAACACGGTGCTTTTGCAGTCTGAGAATAGTAAATACAGCATTTGTGTTAGTCGACCCCTCCTATTATTTTGAGCTTGAAATACCTCAAAATAGTGAACCGTTCACATGGCGTATAGTTCACTCCACTCTCAGCTGCAATGGTTCTGTTTGGCAGCAGCTTCTTCAACACTGCTCCAGTGAATATTGCACCTCTCTCACCTTCTCCTCACCCACGTTGGTTTAGTTATTCTTTCTCAGAGAAGCATCCTTTGTTCTTCCTCCTTTTCCCCTGCACCTGTGAACCACACATATGCTGTCATAAGATTGTAAAAAAGAAAAATCATTGAGAGTGTTTCCTGAGGAGACGTGGGAAAATAAAACCTTTAGCATAGTGTGCCTGGAATCCTGAGGGAATCAATTATTCATTGCACGAGCCGGCAGTCACAGACCTCCCGTTGCTCGAAGCAGCAGCAGCAGCAACAGACTGAACGGATTCATGAACGTAGGATGACGCGTCTCTGTTTGGCCAGAACATTTTTTACATTTTGACACCTGAAAAGTTAAATATAGTAACATAAATAGTTTTTCATATTCATATTGTAGGATATTAGAAATAAACTGACGACCCGGTTCATAAAATTAATAAAATGCATATAGTGTACACCAGAATACAGCCATGATTCTGAAACTGTGTAATCAATAAAGTAATGACAATATTGTAAAACCACTGTAATTCTGCAACTGTAATAGAATAATACCAATGTACAGATGATTGTATTTTATGTAATGTAATCAACTGGAATGCATGCATGAAATACTTGCGCACAACTGATATTGACTAAGGGTCGAAATCCGAGTTACATTGAACTCAGCAGAAGACCACTCCCAGAGGTGTGGACACTAACTTTCACACCTTTAAGCATTGTTATAAATACCTGTAGGAACCATTGTTCTGGAGTTTGCTGGTAGAGGCTACAGACGGGCACTAGGGATGGTCAAAGGACTGACCTGGGGCCTGTTGGTTGCTGAGACAGCGGCTCCTCAGCTGAGATGTTCTTTTTACCACAACACCATCTCTTTTATTAAATACATTTGATTTTAACCTTTTGATCTGCGATGCCCTCTGTCCGTCCGGCGTTTCTTTTTTGAACACAACTATATATATATGTACACTTTCCTGCAAATAATTAGATGAACTGATGCCAATCTCATGTCTATACCTCATGCTACTGCCAGCTGCTAGTTAGCTTAGCCTAGCATAAAGTACAAGTAAACAGCTAGCCTGACTGAACAACTGAATTTGTACAAAAAGTTTAAAGGCTTTTAGAGGAGCTGGTAGGCAGATTTTCTGAGGACGGAGAAAGGCCGGCTGTTCCCGGTCTGTGCTATGCTAAACCACATAGCTGTGGAATCAAAAGTGGTATTCTCAGTTAATTATTTGCAAGAAATGATTTGGAAAATAAATTTCCAAATTCTCCTGCCTCGTCTCAAATAACCTTTGCCTTTTCTTATGCAATCTCAAGAATCGCCTTCAGGGCATGCTAGTTGACAGGTACTCCATCAAAGAGTCTGTCTGGTCTTTTAACATGTTATATTATTGGTGCGTTCGTGCTGCCTCAAGTCTGTCACTCAGACAAAAATCCTGTGGCGACGCAGCAGCAGTGACTCACTGCTATCGAACTGTTTGACGGAGGAGCTGACAGAAAAATGGCAACTTTCGGGAAGCGTGTGTGCGTGAGGTGGCAGAAAGCGGCAGCCTCGCTGCACAGCATGTGTTGACGACGTGTATGTGGGTCCGTGCGCTTCCATTGACCTCCGTGCGTGTGCTTAAGCATCTGTGCTGTCCACCTACCCACTGTGCGCCCACAAAGGCAGCTCAGCTAATTGGCTTTTCCTGCGCCCTCGGGATGACTCACACTTTGGCACAATGTTATTGACATCAGTCAAGCCTCATCTATTTATGACTCACTTAAAATAATAAGTTGAGTTAATAAACTTTTATGAACACTGAGCTACTTGCTGGATACCCGACCAATGTGGAATCAGCTCGTCAGGGGTTTTCACAACGTGCAGCAAAAGTGTACAGAAAAGTTGTCCTCAAATGTCGTGGAAGGTAATTTACGACTTTACGATACTGATTATTTGAAGGACTTGTTTTCTTTTTTATTTAACGCTCCCCACAGTTGAAGAACTTTTGCTACTCTACATTAATTTGATGGTGGCTTTTTACGTGCCAATAAAACCTAACAGTATTTAAGGTAAAATAAATTAGGTGCTTTTTCTGGAATGTTCCGGTGGTTCTTGTCTTTAAGTACAGCTTTGTGCAGGATAATTGAGTTTGTAAAGGACAATTTGTTTATCGTGATAGTTCTACTTTCACTGAAGTAAATGATCTGAGTACATTATCAATGCTTCACTTTACTGTAAAATGATTGTTAAAACAAATGTCTTCAAGGTCAAAAACAGGCAGGATACTTTTGGTAAAGCAATAATGAAATATGTTTCTATCAAAGTCCGATTTTATTTTCTATTCACTTCACAAACATATCTGACCAATTCAAAAGAGCCTTATCTGTGATGGACCAGAGTCGTCCTATTTGGCAGTCAGTTGTGCAGCTTTAATGCTTCAAGGTGGTTTGGGCAAAGCTACAAACATTAGCGATGGTGAGAATTCTGCAGAGTGCTTGGCAGCATGCTGGCTGGATTACTGCCATCACCTGCTGCGAGGCAGAACGATACTCGGACAGGATAAAGATCTGTTAGCGAGAGTTAGCGATCTCTCCAATGGCGTTCAAGTGTAGAATATGAAAACACATATTTAGCCAACATTTGGTGGTGAATTTATTTCAACAATGTCTGTGTGTTTAGTCATATGAGCAATCAAAATGGATTAGATAGAGACCGTGTTAAACAAAAACACAGTTTTTAATCCCGATTACAGCACAACACAAATCAAAGTGAGCATCTACTGTGTCCCAAAAGAAGGATGTCTGCCTCTAATGCAGTGTGAACTTGGCTGTGAAAAGAAGGAGGAACAGAAATAGACCTTTGAAGTATTCATAGGCATTGTGAGGCTAATTTTAGCACTCCCTTGACTCTAGATTTGGGTTATTTGAGGGTTAATGATTCAATTACCTCTTTAATATTGCCCCACAAAGTAGCTGAATCTACTAAAACTTATGAAAAAATCATTACTGCTATTAGCTAATTTTAGATTTGAAAATCTGTCCTGCCGGGGAGGCTGAACTGATGCAGCTGAGGTAATCCCATGCAAGATTATGAGTAGGCAATCTGCAGCGATGTGTGTGAAAGTGCTCCTCCACTCTGTCTGCTTTGAAATGTATGTCACGAGAGTTGGTACATATTTTATAAGACGTACATCTCCCTAACAGCTTGCATGGATAGAACGGGGGAAGCCCTGAATGAAGAGGAATACTACAAATGTTGGTAAATGTACCGGAACTGTTCCTTACAAAGGCATCCCTCACTTTCATGTCAGTAGAAGGGATGTTTATTTGAGCCCAGAAGTAAAGCTCTAACTATTCTTTGCCATGAAGATAATAACACTGCCCATTAAGAGGGAAATTCAGAGAGAACACATAATAACTTTTCATGGCTACATGATGGAGCTTAGAAGGAGATCACTGAGAATGATGATGCAGTAAATCAGAACATTCCCTTCATAAGTTGTAAAACAAAAAGGGACCAAAGCAAAGGGCAACCCAGAGGAGAAGAGCGATAAAGGGATTTCAGCTGCAATATAAAGTCGATGAAGACTTAGTCTGCATGTAGCGTAAGACCTGTGGGTGAAAAAGCTGTGGATAAACTGCTCCAAGAGGAGAGCAAGCCACTGAATAATGTGCTGACATCTCGCGCTGGACGTCCGTGCATGTACTGAACTATGTCGGGAGGATGGGGGTTTCCCTCGGTTGACCAATGTGGTTCATCTTTTTGTGCGATTAATATCACATTTCCTTTTTTCACATATTTTGCATTTCATACAGTGGATGTTTTCATGAATAAATACAAAGGACATTACTCGAGGACATTACAGGAGGGGGTGAGGGGTAGCAAGAAAACACGTTTCTGCTGCAAAACTACTTGCATTTTGCTGGTCATTCACAAGCTAAGTTGACATCTTTAAGACAACTTACATAGCATCTAGGAATGAGACTTTACTTAAGGCAAGACTTAAAGGTAAAACCTGTAATACTATTGGACAGATCTAATTAATTGTAACTGCAAAAACACAGTTTTGTGACACATGTTTACGATAAATCTAATGAATATTTTCCTCCCCCGTTAATTTTGTCATGTATACATGTTTCTCTTTCCAGCATGCCATAGATGCTGTGAGTGCTGGAGTGAGTCCTATTGGAGATACATCATTCAATTCCAGTCACTGGGACCTGGGCAGTGCCTTCTTCTTTGCTGGAACTGTAATCACAACCATAGGTAAACAAATAATACACTCTTTAATTCCTTTGTGTTGGTTGCATAAGGTAGTGGTAATGTATAGGTGTAAACAATTCATTAGACTTCAGTCAAAGGTTGATGGCAAAAATCACAAAAAGGGTATCAGAAACCGCACAAAAATTACCTTTGTGGTCAAAATTAGTGTTTAAAGTGTTAATATGAATGAAAACATATACAGTAGGATGATACAAGGAATTGAATAAATGAAATAACGTATTGAAGAAATAATGTAAACTCAACTCATAATACAAAATGCAATGTTATTTTAATTTGAATAAAAAATCAATTTAATTATATACCCTTTCATTTCATTTCAAGATCTTAATTTTATTTTATTAAGACTATAATAAAAAAAAACTAACTCGTTAGACCTGTAAATAGAAATGGAATGGAACATTATCAAGGATACTGACAAAACATACACTGCTGACATGACAAGTCCAAGGGGATCCTAATTGTTGTCCCTGTAGGAGCCTTTTCACATAAGAAAGTTTTGATTGGCACCTGGCTTCAAACACTCCGCCTCCTCTTCGCCACGTCTTCTCTGCCATATCTCTTCACAGTTTTTTCTCCTCTGCTCTTCCTCGTTCTTTCCCTTGTTTGTGACAGGTTATGGAAATATAGCTCCAAGCACGCAGGGTGGAAAAATCTTCTGCATCCTTTATGCCATATTTGGCATCCCTCTCTTTGGCTTCTTGTTGGCCGGGATTGGAGACCAGCTGGGCACCATCTTTGTGAAAAGCATCTTGAGGGTTGAGAAGATATTCAGGGTGAGTTGCGAGTCTAAGGTAGTTTCTTGTTGTTGTTTTTTTATTCATATATGCCACTTTTTTAATGGGATGTCTACCCTGTTTCTGATCTGTTTAATTGAAAGGCTTCTATTATTTCCTGTGCCTCTTAGATCTTTTTCGCTTGCATTGTTCTAACATGATCTCCTGTTTGGTTTTCTCAGCAAAAACACAAACAGATCAGCCAGACCAAGATCAGAGTGACCTCCACCATCCTGTTCATCCTGGCTGGCTGCATTGTTTTTGTCACCATCCCTGCTGTCATCTTCAAACACATAGAGGGCTGGACCACACTGGAGTCCATCTACTTTGTTGTGATAACACTCACCACAGTGGGGATAGGAGACTACGTGGCAGGTAGATCCATGCGAGGATCTGTTTCTGTTGTAATGTCGACAGTTTCTTCTAACCATCTTTCCTTCCTGTGCAGGTGGCAATCGTAGGATCGTCTACAGGAAGTGGTACAAGCCTTTGGTGTGGTTCTGGATCTTGGTGGGATTGGCATACTTTGCAGCCGTCCTCAGCATGATTGGAGACTGGCTTCAGATACTGTCTAAAAAGACCAAAGAAGAGGTGAAGTTCGGTCAATGAACCTGCTTACTATCAAATTAGAAATACAGAAAATGAAAAAGTTTGCAGAGGTACGGCTTCCCCCACGTCTGCTCTCTTATTCTGCCAAAATGTTCTGTGTCGAGACAAAAGACACAGAAGAGGAATATATGTACAAGGCTCGCATGAAAAAGATAACTTTTGTCAAAAGCTAATTTCTTCTCATTTTCCCTGAAAACCTGGTTTAGTATTTCTGGGTCAGATGTTCATGACTTAATGAGCAGCAGTCAAAGTAAATGTTTGCATTCAGTCCATCAGGACTTTTAGGTAGTACTTCTGATCCCATTTGATTGACATTGAAGTATTGCTACGGCTTGCATCACACACACACGTATGTGACATCACCTTCACTGAACTGGTCCCTCGCCACTTCAGCCTGGTGAGAAAATCAGATTTCTAACAAGTACGTAAATGACGTACCTAAAGGTATTCCAAGATTCTGGAAAAAAAAATATTCCAAAATTTAATTGAACTTCTTTCCTTTGTATTGTTGAAATACCAATGCTAGTAGACAAGTAAGACCTGCTGACTAAAAGCAATTTCAATTTAAAAAATAATATTGTTTAAAATTAGCTTGACAATTGAATGGAAACCCGACCAATGCCCGCTGTGCTGCAGATTGACCCGATGTACCTGACCCTTTTCTCACCTCCGTCCACAAAGGTTGGGGAGATTAAAGCCCACGCAGCAGAGTGGAAGGCAAATGTCCGAGCGGAGTTCCGTGAAACGCGGCGGCGCCTGAGTGTCGAGATCCACGACAAGCTGCAGCGGGCTGCCACCATCCGCAGCATGGAGCGCCGACAGCTCGGCCTGGAGCAGCGAGCGCTCTCCCTGGACATGCTGTCTCCGGAGAAGCGGGCCTTGTTCGCCAGCCTGGACGCCGGCCGCTTCAAGACTTCCTCCCAGGAGAGCATCGACACCAAGCTCAACAACCTGAGGCTGAAGGGGGCCTGCGAGCCGTACGACCAACAGGCGAGCGAGCAGACGCCGCAGACGGCGTCTTCCTCCGAGGAGAACCTCTTCAACCTGCGCTGCGGATCCCTCACCAAGCTGGCCAGACGCAACAGGAACCGCGAGCTGCGGAGGAACATTAACGAAGACGTGCGGCGGGCTAGTGTAGGGGTCAGCAATTGCAGTGCTATGCTGGGAGAGGAGAGGACAGAAGAAGAAGAAGAAGACGGGGAGCCGGACGAGGAAAACAGAGACAGAAAAGTGGAAAACATCAGCCTGACAAACCTGTCACAGAACGCGATGGAGCGCGGGAAGTTGAATGGGTTCGCGCCGGCCAAAGATAGTGAACGACTGGGCATCGAATGGAAGTGTTCTTCAGAGACACGGGGAGAAACGGAGTGAAAGGTAGAGACGAGAACACGGAACAAGAGTGCATGGACCGTTGAGATGTCAGTAAATGTGCCTTTGTGTTTTCCTTCGCTTTGATTGGAACTGCTCCGAGTAAATTCAGTCATGATGCCATAGCCACGGGAAGAAAATGTGCTGCCAAAAAGTGGAGAAGACGGAAGAGGCTGTCGTTAAATTACCTCGCATAGGATGTGACTGTAGGATGGGCAACTCAAAGAACTTTCCTCGCTACAGGAGCTTCATCAGCTTCGATGTCTTTCAGCCTTGACTCTCGTCACACTCGAGAGACACGACGGCTCGTTGTTAATGTCGAATCTTATTTTCCAACCATGTGGGCAGGATATTCAGAGTTCTAGCTTCAGCTCCTCCTTCTTCAGAAAACGTTGCGGATCTACGCTTTGTCATCTTACAATGTGCTGGTTTATTTGTAGCTCGGCTACCAAAGGACTGGGAAGGTGGGAGGTTTTGTTTCTGCTGCATCAGTTTGTCAAACAATAGACACTCACCTGGCTGACACGAACAGTTATTCCTGGTATGTAACTTTGGAAGTGCAAAAAAATAATAATAATAATTTTAAAAAATGAATGAAAAAACAAACATCTCTTAGATCGTGCATGGTTATAAAATAAAACCATAAAAGAAGATTCACATACTTGAAAGCTTGAAATGACAGCTGTAATAATGTTCCTTACTGTTTCGATGAATTAAATGTACTGCTTGCTTTCACAGGCATTTATTATCACCATTGGCCAACAGATTGTCAGCCATGTTGAAAACACCTTTTTTGTAAATGACGTTCACTTTTATCACAAATGTCTTCAGACTTTTAATGAATGAATATGATGCTTTTCATTTTGTACTCATCAAGCATGTTTGCATCCGTGTTTACTCCTTTTTATATAAGCCAAGCACTTAAGTTGAAATGTTTAAGTACAAACTAAACATGTCATGTTTCTTTTATCAAATGTCTTTTCTGAAACACATTTTTGCTTAAATCTTCAAACTGAAGTGTTTTATTGTATGTTAACTCATTGAAAAGACACATTTCTACGTTTTGCTTTTCACACACAGGCTCTGAAACTACTACCCGACGTCTTCTTTAAATCTTTACAAAATGATTAAAAACTAAAGACGAAGTATACACACACTGGTTGTACTTGTACCCTGTTTTATCCTTTTCAGGAGCCAATAAGTTGCTGTGTTTTTTCTTCATGAACATATCACATTAAATGTAGTGAGTGCCTTTTTACAGATAATAAACATGACTTAAGGAATTTAAAAGGCGGTAATCTCTAACGACAGCATGAATGTAGTGATTCCACATGGCCTTTCAAACGCCATTGCTACAAAATTCTATCACACCATGACAGTAAACTACTGATAGTGATAGGACCACTACTGTTACCCTCGCCCCTTCCGAGACGCGAGAAGTCATAAAAAGTCAAATGGCTCGAATTTGAAAATGATATAGAATTTAATAACTAACAGAAGAAATTAAGTATGAATAGTAGAATAATATTCAGTCTCATATGATCATCAATATTGGTTCACAGGAGGCCTCTGCCAGGTCCTTCTCCAGCTTAGCTCCTCCAATCTCCCGGGGGGCGTGTCCCTTGTGCTGCGGTCGTATGTGATTGGCTGCACATTCGAGCCCAGCTCCTCCCTCGTGAGTTCCTTTCTGCATCACACGACTCCCTCCTGGCTCCATCTGATGGTCGGATCCGAAACCCCACACTGACCTGACCGATCCCTGTTCACTTAAATATCTAACATCACACAAACTACAAATCTAACAGTAAACATTACTACATGTACTATCATTTCTGCTTAAATAATTCACACAGGTGCAGTCAACCAGGTTGGTAAAGGAAGTAGTATGATTAATAAAACAGATAATCAAGAACATATTCAAAGGTATTCATGAATAGAGTCATTTAAAAAACACATATCCAGTTACTGCTTCAGCCCCTTAGCTTAAGGATCCCAAATGTCTATTTTTGTAGCAGTCGGACACAATTTCTACACATTACCTATAGATACAGTAAATGTTGTTGAATATCAGATATTATTGATTATTTATGCTGGACGTATTGTAGAATTAAACCTTAACCGTAATTATTTACGCACACAAAACTGCTTGACTGCACCTGTTTAAATGAAATGATTGCATTTGACTGTAGCTGACAACACCCTCTTTGAGCTGTCACTTCTTTTTAGATACCCTGAATAAGACTGAGTTCAAACGCAAAGTCTCTTTAGAGGTAATTTTGGATAAGAAATGTGCTTTGGTATTTTGTTGATTACAAGTCTAACCTTTTCTCTTTTCTGGGCCCATATGTTCGATCCAAAGAGCACCTGTTTTTTGTTCAAACATAAGTGAGGTAGCACTGCTCAGACAAAACTGGTATTCCTTATCTATATTCTAAAAATGTTATTCATAAAAATAAAGGAAACAAATAGATATAGAATCACAGGAAGACACAGAAAACGATACTTCAGCAAAGCATTACTTCTATGCATACTTTATTTTATTCCTTATCCTTATTTTAACTCAACAATTTTACCTCCACCATAAAAAGACACGGATATGATGATGCTGTTATGCAGCTTTTGGGTAATCAAACATGATCCCTTATGTAACGGAACGAATGTGACTCATTGCCTGTCGCGGGATGCTGGAGCTCAAGGTCTCCATCCATGTCTATAGCTGAGTGCCACAGTCGCTTATGTCCAAGGTGTTTGGCACCTGGAAAAAAAACCCTCTTAGTTGACATAAATGAACCAAGGAGACATGTTGTGTGTACGAGTGTGTGTGTTTGTGTGTGCGTGTGTTTGTGTTGATTTTCCTTCTACGGTGGAAGTGACCTCGGTCAGCTCCTCTCTCTTTCTTTTGTCCCTCATTTATTTGTCCCCCTATTGCCGTCCTCCCCCACACATGATGGATGCACCGCAGTTTTCAATTCATTGAAATACATTGACATGTTTTAATATATTTTCTATTTGTTTTGGGGGAGGGTTAGTTTATTTACTCATGAGACAGTCGATCAGAGGAATCGATGTGAATGAGGCTGGTTAAGTAGGTTCTCCTATGACAGACGATGATGAAAAACATCTTTTGTTGTTTTGAGCTGTGAAGCTCAAAAAAGTATTTTTGGACCTAATACGTTACGGTCATATTTACATGTTGCCTCCAACTGAATAATTATCTGTGTATGTAAATACTTAATTAATTGGTAAATCTCCTTTGTATCATTGTACACAAGGTCTTCTGTATTATAGACACCGTGTCATATGATGGGATGATGATGAATTCAAACACGGGGATGAAGTGGGTGTATTCTTGCTTTTAGGGGAATCAGGAGCACACTTTCATAAACTTGGGAGGCACACATGTGCAAGAATTTCTATTTACAAAAAACCCTCTGTCACCCAGAGTATGTCCCTGCATGCATGAGCACACACGCTAATCGTCTCTAGTGCTCTAAAGACAATCTAATCGATAACACAAAAACTCCCCTCTTTCGATTTGTTTTATTTGAGTGATGAAGGGCACAAAAATAAATAGTCATGTAGCAAATAGATTAAGTTGAGAAACTGTAATAGTGAATCCCCCGACTTTCACTTTCTTGTTAAATCTGTTCAGAATGACCAGGAATCAGCCACAGGAAAAGCCTCTGCGGGGGTTCACTCATTTCCTCGCGTTAAGTCATGCATAAAGCTTCCACGTAAGAGGCAATTATGCACCAAACCACGGCTCTTCTGAGAAAGGAATTAGTCGTGCCTCCCTGATGGTAGTTTAAGTGAAAGTAATTTGCTGAACGTTGACCAGTAACGCAAGGTCACTCAGAGGATTCTCATCATGGTTTCTCCAAAACTCTGGTAGGACAAATGAGGATGAGTAGTAATTTTATAATTAGCTATGGCTGTCCTGAATAATTTACTCAAAAGTGACCTACATCATGCTGCAACTTTGTTTAGCAATGTGAAAATCCTCACCACGATCTGTTGGAAAGGCTGGATTGCAGTGACCTTATGTTCTATAATAATCAATGCAAAAATATCTTTCCGGTTAGACTAGAATATGCCTTAATGGCCTTATAGGAAAATAACATTCTCACATTTCCTGAATTTTGTCATAAAACATTACATTCGTGTACTTGGTGAATCACGGAGAAACACAGCGCTCTGCATGTCTGCTCTCCAATGACTAAAGATAGTTATTACTACAGCAGGTTCAACTGCGCACGTCTGGCAAGTGGGAAAGAAGCAACTGAACAATATGACAGTGTGGATTATAGATTGGGAGACAGCTGGGCAGAGCTGTCTGAGAAAAGCCAATTTATTCGTGGTTCGACATTAAAATAAGAAATCATTGTACTAGACTAAAAACAATGAGTGGCAGCATTAAAAAATGGATAAATACGACTGAGTCAATGAAGAAAATATTGCAGTAAAGACATTTTTGCTGAGGAAAATCTAGTTTACAGTTTTATAAACAACACTATAAACAGTGTAAATACAGCTAAACTTCATTGTTTCAATCCTTAACAAATATATTATGTAATATTATTATCACACAACTGCAACTTCTCATTTTCTTTCCTTCTTCTCAATTGTGTGTGTTCGCTTCAGGATTTTTCAACTAAATTTGTCATTTTCACACTCAACTTTTTTATTCCAACGAGTATCATGTTAATCTCACATGCATGTGCACGCTATCAGACCACCAGTGCACTGTAGATAACCATTGATTCTCAATGCCACAGAGCAAGCAGAACGTGCCATTGCTGAAACTGCCAACATCCGTGTGAAACTCATTTATCTCCATCCCTCCATGCGCCTGCACTTTGCTTACTTATACAAATAAGGGTGTCGGAGGCAAGGACAGTGGAAGGTTGTAGGTGAGAGGATGGGGATTCTGATGGGCTTCACGGCCTCCAGCTTCTGCTGATGCAGATTATTCAGTGTTAAATCAAGCATATTATCTGACGTGAATGGATGAACAGTTTGAAGAAAGAGTCAAGGCAAGGACTCACATGGAGGAGAACATCTACCTACCTGCATATGTTGTCATGAAGGCAAAATGTCACAAGAAAACCATATTTTGTGTATATTAGAAAGGTTTTACTCAAAACCGGTGTAAAACCATTTAACAGGACATTTATTATATGTTTGGAGCGGAGTCGACACACATACAAGACATGCATCAAGGCTGCTCGAAGGATTCTTCCTTTGGTTTGAAGGTGACAAACACCCGTGCCCTGCTCCTCAGGGGCGGGGAGACCTGCATCATCTCCCACTGGTCACCTCCACATCAAACAGGGAGAGATGGCATCGTCATTCTTAATAGAAGTATATGGAAGAGAAACTTGGTTTACCCCTATAGGCAATAAAAGTTTGATCCTGGTTCACAAATCATCCTTAACATCTGTCCATCTCAGGAACACCACGTATCAGTTCAGGAGGTCACTGATCTTCTGTCCACTTAGAATGAACCTTATATTAATTTTTCTAGTATATAAAACTAATAATGCAATTCAACGAGTACACATTTAGGGAACATTATTATGGCTCTTCTGCCAGCTGGGGATATAAAGCTGGTAAATATACACAAGGTTGGTATCTCTTTATTGAGGGACAATAGTGAACCTCTGTGTGTGGACCTGTTACTTGTGCAAGAGCAGGATGGTGCTTGGTTACCGTCTTACACACACCAGACAAAAACATTACAGACCAACTTGAAGAACCTGTGAATCATGGTGTTAAAGTAAAGATGAAAAAGGACAACGTAGTTTTGATTGATAAAATACTGCGGCTTTGGTAAGAAAACTAAATCTTTCTATCTTGAAATGATCAACTATTCCAAACGTAAACAGTTTAAACATCTTGCTGCACCTTCATGATTGTCCACTAGAGAGCTCCAGACGTCCACCTTTGGTCAGCCACAATTGAAACAACATGAATATCTGATATGTCAGAAGGCTGATGGAAAATACAAATAGATTGATAAATCACAGGGCTCTTCATAGATATTATTTTCCTGCTCACACTTTATTCCAATGATGAATGGTGTCAAATTAAAATAGATGCATTTTCTTTGGCCTTGTACACAATATCTTTATAGCAGAGATGTACAGCACACGCAAAGCACATATGTCGTACACAAACGAGGGGGGGGGTTGACAACACATGCAGTTTGATATCAAAACGTGTCAAAACTATGAAATAACTGGAAATGACCTACAACCTAAAAGAAAATGATGAACTAACTAACTTGCTATCAACTAACTTATCAATACGTACTTTATGTAATTCTACTTCACTGAATATAGGAAAATATTGTTGTAGTTACTTGTTTAGTATTTTAATACCCTCATATTCAAACCTTTGTAATTTAAAAAATGTGTGATATAGTTTGTGGATGTTCTCCTACTTCTTTCTATTTAGTTACCTTCCTAAAATATCATTGTGAAGCAGTGACAAGCCACATTTTACTGACGATACTTTTGATACTTTGCACTTTGAAGTTGTTAATACCTACATTCTTATGCTTGAGTAAGATTGTGAATGAAGGACTTGATGTCATCGCCGTACAGTGTTGCTACTCATTTAAGTGAAGGAACTGAATACTTCTGCCACCAAGATGCGGTTCAGGTCAGAATACCACAGACAAGCTATAAACTAGAGGTTTTGAGATACGGACCAACTCATTGTGGCTGTGGGTCTTTTAATGAGATTTATTGACGGGCAGAATACGGACAAACACCACCAGCTTTCTCCTTTCATAGCCGAAAACTTGCCATTTGACAACTGTTTTAAGTTTGAAACGTTGTTTGGTTTACCAAACTTTACATTACATTACAGGTAATTTAGCAGACGCTTTTATCCAAAGCGACTTACGTTACACTTTAAACCCATGGCCTTTTCACATTTTTGCCCAGGGAGCAATTAGGGGTTAGGTGTCTTGCTCAAGGACATGGGGCAGCCGGGACTTGAATCACCAACCTTGTAGTACCCAGCGCACCCTCTCTCTTTATGTGTTCTTTATGTGAATCTACACTGCATTTTCATCTCTGCGCTTCATCTTTATCTGAAAGAAGAGAACAACTTGGTTGACATTCTCCCTCCCCGTTCTGGTAATGAAGCAGTAGACGAGCGGGTCTGCAAGGCAGTTGAGGCTCGAGATAGCAGTGCTGATTTTGTATGGATAAAAGAGCCATGCGAGAGACCTGCAGTCATCCACTGCCGTGAGAAGGAGCATCATGACGTGGATGGGTCCGAAGAAGAACAAAAGGCAGAGCAGAACTACTGTCAGCACCTTCGAAATCCGTTTACGTTCCTGTTCCTCTGTGGCCTGGTTGGATTTCACCGCCTCGCTGATCCCCCAGGTGGAAAATACCCCAACGACAAAGGGAACCATGAAGCCCAGGACGAAGCGTGCCACATTAGCCCGAGCCAAGTTATCCGACATGGGGAGGAAGACGTCAAAGCACACTGACAACTTGTCGTCCTCGTGGTACGAGTCCTCCCATGTGATGGTGCTGGCGTTGAAGGAGAGCACCGAGACCCAAATGGCCGCGCTGACCGCTGCCGCGGTGCCGACTTTCCTCAGGAAAGTGTACTTGAGTGGGTGAACAACTGCCAGGTAGCGGTCAACAGCGATGCAGCAGAGGAGCACGTCGCTGGTGTAGAAGTTAGTGAAGAGGGAATAGACGGATAGCACACAAACGTAGCCCCCGTGCACCCAGACTCCTTTCCACAGGAAGTCCAGCCACAGGGAAAGGCCGATAGTGAATGTCAGGTCGCTCAGGGCCAGATTGAATAGATACACACCGAGGCCGTTCTTCTGTCTGATGTGCTGCCAGGACACGTACAGGAAGAAAGCGTTGGAAGGGATGGCAGTGATGATGACGGCCAGGTAGAAAAACAGAAACGACCTCCTCCTGGATAAACTTTCAGGGAAGGAACATTCTGAATTGTTTGTGGCCAGTGTCACGTTTTCCATCGCAGATGTGGCGTTCCTATATGGTGACACCTTATGAAGAAAAAAGAAAGGGTGTTAAGCGAGTAAAACACAATGATTCAGTTTATCCATCCGATAATACTACTGTTAAAACACCCACAAAGTCTTTTGTGGTTTCTTCAACTTTAAAAATTACAACACGCTGTGTAGTTTGATAGACGAGGGCATCTAGTCAGTCAGGACATCTACAGCTGCTATTTTGACATTTAACACACAATGAATTGTGTGATCCTCCATTAAGGGAAATGCTAAGGCTGTGTAGTCAGTAGAATTCAGGGAGTTTTACTGGTTTTAGAAAATTAGTCACAAATTTCCTAACCTTATTGTTGATTTGTTACAGATGATGAGATGTTTTCTTCTTTCCAGAAAACTTGTGTTTAAGTACAATTCAGTTAAATTGTAAAGCTCATCATGCAGTGTGTAAACAGAGATAAACGTCTGTGTACTCAGTGATCTGCCTTGGCTGCTTCTAAAAGCACTGACGTGACGCTTTCTTGCTTCTAACACAATACATCCTACATCCCCACATGACAAAAAACATGGTGGAACACAAGCAATCGTTGATCATTTTAGTTATCTGAGATAGATTATAAACCTCTAGCAAATTTGAAATCAATGTATTTCCACCTTGGTGAAATGATAAAATCAGGAGATCATCATCATCATAAAAGATTAAAAAAACTGAGTTTTTAAGTGTCCATATACAAGAAAGTGTCCAGATACAAGAAAATGCGGAGGTACTTACTTTCTATTAAGGTGTTTCTTTCTGCTGCAAAGTATGTCTCGTCTTCACTGCTCAGTGAGAGCAGCTTATAGAAACAGGAACATTCATCAGCTGCCTCCTTGTTGTCTGTGACTACACTGTGTTTTACTGGGTGACAGGCCACAGCAGAGCAGAACTGCCGGTTTTAGAGGACCACAAAGCCAATTTAATTTGGATGCTGAGTCTATATGAGACTGCCTGTCTTCATGTTTGGTGTGTCAATATGCACATGGACTCAGGTAAAGGTGATGCTGATTACCGTCTGATAAAGGAATATAAATCTGTTTGACAATTTCCTTAGCGTAGTTATGTTGTTGGGCTCCTGAACGGCACACGTGCACACGCACACATGTATGTAAATGTATATACGTGTATATAGATATATATCTATATACCTCTCACTCCTGTCTGTCTTGGCTTTCTCTTTTAAAAAAATGTCAAAATAGAACAACCCTTGTTTTGGGGACAGAAAGGAATTCAAAAGTTCAGCCAATAGCAAAGTGACCCTTCAAGAAAAAACAAATAAGATGGAAATCTTCCAAAGTAGAACCTTATGTCCTCTTTGTGTCACTGTCCCTCAACCATGGCTTGGAAAATAAACAAGGAACTTGTTACTAAAAAGACCTCTGATGCTGAACTTAACATAAAATCTGTTTAATTATTTCATTTGGGTTACAATTGTTACAAATAACTAAAATATATGTTAGGAAACAAACTAAACTCCGCTGGTGCCCTCCGACCCTTTTCTCCTCATCAAAAATCCCCGACAATTCTCTAGAGCTTTCTTAATCTCGTTCTGAGCGCTCTCACTGATTAAACAGTAGATTATAGGATCCAGAGTGCTGTTAATGGTGGTCATGGCAACTGTGATCAGGTACGGATCTCTGAGCCTGAAGGCCCATTCGCAGTCCCCCGGCTCCAGCACGGCCCTCAGCAGCATGACGGTCTGGTAGGGCATGAAGGCCCCTACGTAGGTCAGGAGAAGGAAAAACAACAGGTGTCCCACTCTGCTGCGCTCCCCTTTCAGGATGGAGGTGCTCCGTTGGAGAGACCGCATGATCTGCTGAAAACAAAACGTCATGATGAAAACGGGGAGCAAGAACCCCAGGGCGACTCGAGTGAGGGCGAGGTCGGCGTCTTCGCGGCTCATGGGGATTCTTTCTACGCACAAGTTGCTGGAGGAGAAAGCCACCAGCGACCCTGTGTGCTCAAGCAGGACGATGTGCACGGCAATCTCCAGGCTCCAAACAGCAACGCACGCGACGACGGCGGTCCGCACCTCTCGAACCCGGTGACAGTGGAGAGGATAAACCACCGCCAGGTAGCGATCGACGGAGATGCAGCAGAGGAGGCCCGAGCCCACGTAGAAGCTGTTGTTCATGACCACAGCCAACGAGCTGCACACGTCCCCCACGGGCCTCCCCAGGGACAGCTCAATCCACACGGGCAGAGAAACGGTGTAGAGCAGGTCAGAGACGGACAGGCTGAAGAGGTAGACCGCCACGCTCTTCCCTTTCCTCATCAGCATCCAGGCCACATACAGGGACAGGCAGTTGGCCGGGAAGCCCACAATGAAAAAAAGCGAATAGGCGGCTGCGACCACGCGCTCTTCGACGGAGGACTTCGTCACGTCGCAGGAGGCAGGTGAACTTGAGTTCGTCTGGTTGAGGGCAGCTGAGAGCATCCTTACATGACGATAACCAAGCCCGAATGTGGACGGAAATGAAGGGCTCTGTGTTTGGGTGAACCAGAGATGGACTCTGCATTGCAAATAAGTCCTGGTGAAACGGGGCATTGTAGAAATGGAAATAGCCTCCAATGTTGCTGTCACTGCCTTTCTGCAGCGGTGAGTATCACCATCAGATCGATCCAAAGATAAACACTTTCCTCGTTTTTATGCAAACTAAACTGTGCTGTCTGTTTTTTTCACCAAAGATACATTTCAACTTCAAACCATTGTTCTTATTAAAATTGACATTTTAAAACTAGAAAACTATCTAAAAAAGTTGTTCAAAGAAATTCCCTTTTCTCCTTTCACATCTCACTGATCCTCTAATGACCACTTTATAAATCAATGATACAATTTAATTACAGAATGTGCATAATGTATCAGTCATAAGGCGCTTTTATCTGCTCACTGACATTCATTTTGTGTTCATTTCCTGCTATGACGCAGTATAGAGGATTCCAAGTTGTTTTTCATTTAGTTGAGACTTGTCGAAGCATTCTTCTACTGAGGCAGGCACAGTAGTAGCCGTCTAGTTGTATTTTATATTACATCAGGAATGTGTTCGCTCTAAAGAGCCTTTCAGCTGAGAGGTTACTGAAGCACACCATTTCTTAAAAGTACATTTTTTATCTAATGCTGTGGGAGTTGAGATCTAGTATAAAAACAGGAGAGAGAATTGTCCCACTTCCGCCTGTGAAACACACCCAGTCTTTCCTGCAAAAGCATTTTTTCATTACATTATTTTAAAACTTTATTTTATTATAAAAAAAACGGCAAGACATCTGGAAAGTTTCCAAGAAAGTCTGACTCGACCAACTGCTTTCCCAGGTTTCTGCAACCACAGGTATTCATTTAATGATTCCAAGTACCTCCCAGTTGGCAACACATGTGATATTGAGTTACAACAACGACAAACCCTGGTTCACAGCGGAACTCAGAACACTTCGCCTGCAGAAGGATCAGGCATTTAGGAGCGGGGACAAAGACTTGTACACAGAGGCAAAATACAAGTTTAGCAAGGCGGTGAGAGACGCTAAACGACTGTACTCTGAGAAACTCCAACAACAGTTCTCAGCAAGTGACTCTGCTTCGGTTTGGAGAGGCCTCAAACACCTCACCAACTACAAGCCAAAAACCCCCCACTCCATGAATGACCTCCGCCTGGCAGACGAGCTCAATGAGTTCTACTGCAGATTTGAAAGACAATGTCCTGTTCCCATCCCCCACAGCTCCACCAACCTGCCGCAGTCCCCCTCCCCTCCCTCCCCCAGCCCATCAGGTGCTCACGCCTCTTCATCATTATCACCTTCCCCTCCCCCACCAGCAACGACCCTCTCTATTCTGGAGAGAGACGTTAACCGGCTCTTTAGAAGACTAAATCCCCGTAAGGCAGCCGGTCCGGACTCAGTCTCCCCTCACTCCCTGAAGCATTGTGCTGACCAGCTGTCTCCGGTGTTCACTGACATCTTCAACACCTCCCTGAAGACATGCCACGTACCAGCCTGCTTCAAGGCCTCCACCATCATCCCTGTCCCCAAGAAGCCCAGGATCACAGGACTCAATGACTACAGGCCCGTCGCCCTGACCTCTGTAGTCATGAAGTCTTTTGAACGGCTAGTCCTGTCCCACCTGAAGTCTCTCACCGACCCCCTCCTGGACCCCCTGCAGTTCGCCTACAGAGCCAACAGGTCTGTGGACGATGCTGTCAACATGGCCCTCCACTACATCCTCCAGCATCTGGACTCCCCAGGAACCTACGCCAGGATCCTGTTTGTGGACTTCAGCTCTGCTTTTAACACTATCATCCCGTCTCTGCTGCAGGACAAACTCTCCCAGCTGCACGTGCCCGACTCCACCTGCAAGTGGATCACAGACTTCCTGTCTGACAGGAAGCAGCACGTGAAGCTGGGGAAACATGTCTCAGCCTCTCGGACCATCAGCACCGGTTCCCCCCAAGGCTGCGTTCTTTCCCCTCTGCTCTTCTCCCTGTACACCAACAGCTGCACCTCCAGCCACCAGTCCGTCAAGCTCCTGAAGTTTGCGGATGACACCACCCTCATTGGACTAATCTCTGGTGGGGACGAGTCCGCCTACAGGTGGGAGTCTGACCATCTGGTGTCGTGGTGCAGCCAGAACAACCTGGAGCTCAACGCTCTAAAGACAGTGGAGATGGTTGTGGATTTCCGGCGGAACAGAGCCCCAACCTCCCCCATCACCCTGTGTGACTCCCCCGTCACTATTGTGGATTCCTTCCGTTTCCTGGGCTCCATCATCACCCAGGACCTCAAGTGGGAGCTGAACATCAGCTCCATCACCAAGAAGGCTCAGCAGAGGTTGTTCTTCCTGAGGCAGCTGAAGAAACTCAACCTGCCAAAGGCGATGATGGTCCACTTCTACACGGCCATCATCGAGTCCATCCTCTGCTCCTCCATCACCGTCTGGTACGCTGCAGCCACAGCCAAGGACAAGGGCAGGCTGCAGCGTGTCATCCGCTCTGCAGAGAGGGTGATCGGCTGCAATCTGCCGTCCCTGGAGGACTTGTTCGCTTCCAGGTCTCTGAAGCGAGCTAAAAAGATCGCGGCCGACCCCTCCCACCCCGGACATAAACTGTTTGTGCCCCTTCCATCTGGCAGGAGGCTGAGGTCCATCAGGACTACGACCTCCCGCCACACGAACAGTTTCTTCCCGTCGGCAGTCGGGCTCATCAACAGAGCCCGGTCCCCCACTGCCTGACTATAACACTCCACCGGTCACTCCCCCTCACACTGCACATGCCACTTTAACTGCAATTCATCACTTTGTCACTTTGTCTCTTGTCTGTTACTTGTTTGTTAGTGCACTTTATGCTTAATACTTTTCTTTTTAACTTTTTAATATTTAAAATTTGTTTAACTTTATTCGCTTGTTTTTTTACTAACCCATAGCCTTAGCCTTATTCTTACTAACCCATTGCAATAGCATTTCATTCCACTTTATTTTATTACCTGTGCACTGTTGTCTTGTCTGTCTACTGTCCCGCACTAACCGCCAAGACAAATTCCTTGTATGTTTGACATATTTT